CCACCTCTCCCTACGGCGCACCGGTTCTCTTCACTCCAAAGCCAGACGGTAGTTTACGGATGTGCATCGACTACCGCGCACTGAACAAACAGACAGTCAAGAACAAATACCCCATACTGCGCATAGACGATCTTCCTGACCAACTGCGTGGTGCGACGGTATTTTCGAAGCTGGACCTACGGTCGGGTTACTGGCAGATCAAAATGGCGGACAACTCGATCCACAAGATGGCGTTCCGTACCAGATACGGCTCCTACGAATACTTAGTGATGCCGTTCGGACTCTGCAACGCACCAGCGACGTTCCAGGCAGAGATGAACCACATCCTACGGCCCCTGCTGGACGAGTGCGTGGTGGTGTACCTGGACGACATACTATTCTACTCTAAGACCATGAAGGAGCACGTGGAGCATCTGCGGAAAGTCTTCGAGATCCTGCGGAAGAACAAGTTCTACGTGAAGCTGTCAAAGAGCGACTTCGCCCTGAAGAAGGTGCAGTTTCTCGGGCACATGGTGAGTGCGGAGGGCATACACGTGGACCCGCGGAAGATCGAAGCCGTCAAGAAGTGGAAAGTTCCAGAGAACGTGAAGGAGTTGCAGCAGTTCCTAGGCTTCGCTAACTACTACAACAGGTTCGTGCCGCAGTACGCTAAGATAGCAGCGCCACTGACTGACCTACTGAAAAAGGATACGCCCTACAAATGGGATACTCCTCAACAGCAAGCCATGGAGCAGCTACAGACAGCACTGACTACAGCGCCAGTACTCATCCTACCGGACCCAGACAAGGACTACGTGGTGGAAGCAGACGCTAGTGACCAAGCAGTCGGAGCAGTACTGATGCAGGATCACGGACGCGGTTTGCAACCTATCGCGTACCTCAGTAAGAAGCTACACGGAGCAGAACTAAACTACCCCATCCATGACAAGGAAGCCTTAGCGATAGTCACAGCCTTCAAGGCGTGGAGGTGTTACCTAGAGGGAGCCAAGACTACAGTTTACACTGACCACTGCAGCCTCAAATACCTGAAGTCGCAGCCGACACTCTCACGACGACAGGTGCGGTGGGTGGACTTCCTGGAAACCCACTTCCACTACGACATCGTCTACAAGCCCGTGTTCCACAACAAAGCTGATGCGTTGAGCCGCCCCGGACATGTAGCAGGCATCCAGCTCGACGGGATGAACCCTCTACTCAAGGGTCTATTCCAACATGGGTACTCCGTGGACGCAGAGATCGCTACAGCAGAGAAACAGAAGCTGTTACAGTGGGAGAATGACTTAGCTGTAAGAAAGGGATCGGGAAAGATTTGGGTACCGAACTATGCCCCGCTCCGACAGATCTTACTGGAGGAGTTCCACGATGTGGCATATGCGGGACATTTCGGGAGTAACAAGACGTTAGCGGGAATAGCGAAGTATTACTACTGGCCCCGGATGGCAGCAGACGTGCAGCAGTTCGTCACCTCATGCGACACGTGCCAGCGGATGAAGAGTAGCAAGCAGAAGAAAGCAGGGTTACTTCAGCCTCTACCCGTACCGGAGCAGCCATGGCAGGTCGTTAGCCTCGACTTCATCACAGGACTTCCCTCGACCTCACGGGGACATGATTCCATCCATGGCAGGTCATACCGACCAACGCCACAGCTACTGCTGAAGCAACTGCTCGCCTCTTCTTCGACCGCATCATCACCATCCACGGCATCCCCACTACACTCATCTCAGACAGAGACCCAAAGTTCACTAGTAAGTTCTGGAGGGAACTCATGGGACTGTTGGGGACTAAGCTTGCGATGTCTTCAGCGTACCACCCCCAGACTGACGGACAGACTGAGCGACTCAATCAGGTGGTTGAACAGTTACTGCGCACAGCTTGCAAGGACGACATCAGCCACTGGGATCTACAGTTACCGACGCTTGAGTTCGCTTACAACAACGCTTCACATGCGGCCACAGGGAAATCTCCATTCTTCCTGTGCTATGGACGGGAACCACTCACACCACAGCAGCCAACTACACCGGCACACGTCCAAGCCGCACACGACTTCGTCACCACCATGCAGCAGCTATGGGAGAAGACTCAGCGACGTCTCACCACGATGCAGAACTCCCAGAAGCAGTATGCCGATCGACAGCGACGAGATCACTCAGTAGCAGTCGGAGACCAGGTGCTTCTCGACACACGCAACTTGAACTTATCCCACATTCCGTCCAAGCTCCGGCCTCGCTTCTGTGGTCCCTTTCGCGTTGAGGCAATGGTGACACCAGTTACATTCCGCTTGCGCTTACCTACTACGTGGAAGCTTCACAACGCTTTCCATGTTCAGCTGCTGAAGCCCTACAAGGACCCCAACCAGCAGTTCACAGGACGACAGCTACCGCCACCACCACCTGTTCTCGTACAGGACGAGCCAGAGTACGAGGTGGAACGAGTTCTCGCTCATCGACGCAGACGCGGCAACACGCTCGAGTTCCTGATACGTTGGAAGGGATATGACCCGTCGGAGGACAGTTGGGTTGCAGAAGCTGATATGGGCAACGCACGCCGTGCTCTCAAGGATTATCTTGTCAAGCAGGGTGTATCTCACGCCACCCAGCTTTGAGGGGGGGACGTGTGAGAGTACGACGGCTTTGCTATGATTTACTAGCTTGATTATGCTTTATTATGCATTATCTAGCTTAGCTTTGCTTTATTTTGCTTGCTTTTGCTAGATTTCCTAGGTTCGTTGCTTTTACTATATTTATTATAGTTATAGGCACCGAACTAGGTTGAGTGCACCGAATTCTAGGCTTTTCGGTTGCCACCGAATTGCCTTCTACCGAATTCGGGAAGGACCCGTTCGGGACGCTTCGCGACCCGCGGAACCTTCTAGTAACACCCGGGTTACTGCCTTTGTGTCGAGCCTATATATAGCCTCGCCTTGTACCCAGGTGCAGAATTCATTAGTTCAATCTTTCCTGAACCAGATCCTCACACCATCGATGAACATTTTCAGATTATTTTTTCCCACCTTGCCAACGACCAGCACAGGGTGATCCACATGATTATCCCCGTTATTCGGCCGAGTGCGATCGATTGCATGAATCGGAACCACGACTCGGTGGGGATGGTGGGGTTCGGGCGACGGAGCGTAGTCAGTAAAGGGCCCGCTAATTACTGACTTTTCCCATTTCCCTGCTCCTTCCTGTCGTTCCCTGTCGGCGACGTTTTCTCGGGGCAGTCTTTCATGTAGTGACCCGTCTTCCCACACCGGTAACACGGTCCCTTAGGAGGGCGGTCGGGTGTATGGACGGCGTTGATAGTGGCCCGATGGGTCTGGCCACGAAAACGGTTTCCATCCCTGGAAGCTGTTCTCGCGTACTGCATCAGCGCATCTGTTGACTCCGCCAGCCGTACAGCTTCAAGAAACGATGTCGGGCGGCCCCTGCGAACCTCGTACTGTATCTCGTATTTAAGGCCGCTGATGTATTTATCTAACTGCTCTGCTTCCGACATGTCATCCACTTGGTCGGCGAGGCCCATAAATGACGCTGTGTAGTCTTGGACAGATGCCATCTGCGACCAGGCACGCAGCTTCATGCGAGCTTGCTCCGAGGCGGATACGTGCTCGAAACGGTTTCGCAAGGCTGCGCCCCACTCCTTCCACGTGCGTATCGTGGTCACACCAAAGATTAACTCTGCCACTTGATTCGTTGTCGCAGGGGTCCCGCCTGCCGCATGTGTCACACCTGTCGGCGTCCCTGTTTCCAAGGTCCGGCGCCACCACTCAAGCGCCGCGCCCCGACGAAGCGAAACTGCGTAGTTAATACGCGTGGCATCGTCGTTAACGCCTGCTGCCGTGAAGAAGACCTCGACACCGAACAGCCACCCCTTCACTGTAGTCGTCTTGTCCGTAGGATTAAACGGGGGCGGGTTGACGGGCTTGATCTTGATCGTCGTAACTGCAACTGGCGCTGCTGCCGCTCGCTGCCTATCTTCTTCTTCGAAGTCACGTGTGAGCGCATCCAGCGGATTGCTCATCGCCTGACTGTTGCCCTCGCCTTCGTCCACAGGCGACGCCTGACGCGCTTCACCTCGCGTCTGGCGTAGCTCGGCGTTTTCCTCTCGCAGCGTTGTCACTTCCGCCATTAATGTCTTCATGCTCTCCTGCATTTCTGCCACTTGCGCCATCATCCGGTTAACAGCCTCCTGATCCATGTGCCTAGCACTACGTCTGGTGGGCAGTCGGGTCCCCGTGGCCTTAAGGCAAGTGAAAACACAAACTATCAGAGTCGGGCAGGATTGAATTAACAATCCCTGCGGCCAACCGTCGTGTAGTCACTAAACCAGCCACACCCTATGCCACCAAACTACCCTCAATAAGCGGGGTGAACTAGGAAAGTAGCTCTGATACCAGGTGTTATGAGTTGTAAAAGAGAGTGCGCAGGTAAACGAATAACGAGGCTGTGACTGAAATCAACTGAGAATACAATGAATGCACAGACTAATGTAGGGCTAGCCTAGCTAGGAGGAAACCTCGGGCGAGCGAGGTTGGGTGCAGGTTTGGCGATGGGAATGCCGAAGGCGACGCGAGGAGCCTCGGCAGCGTGGAAATCGCCCGAACGTGCGAACTCCGAAAATCGGGTTGTACGCGCAGCAGTCAACCCCGATAAGGAATTCGGGAAAATTCCTTACAATGGAAGTCAATATCTTAATTGTGTTGTGATACAAAAACTGACAGTAGCAAAGATATAACGGGGGAACTAGCTAGGCAAGGACCTTGGAAGACGAAGTTGGGTGCTGGTCCGGAGTTGCAAACTCCGAAGGCGACGCGGGTCAGCTTAGGAAGGCGGGTTAATTGGACATTGGAACATTCTGACGTGTAGTATAAAAACTGCTTTTGACGGTCTTTGTTTCACATATACAGGGTAGCAAAACCTCTTGGCTGCAACCCCACAATGCACTTAGACCAGCGTGGTGAAACAGAACAGACAGACATGAGTAGCTCCGATGAAAGGCCCTCAACTTCCCGCAAGCGCTTCCCTTGCCTTGCGCTCCCTTCTCTCCTCGGCCTGCTGCCTCCGCCTGGCTCTGAAGAACTCCCTCATCACCTCCGCACACTCCTCCCCCAGCACGCCCCCTGTCACGCGCACGTGCGGATGGAACGGGTGCACCGGCCCTCCCTTGCCCACACCCGGGTGATCCAATCCCTCTTCAACCTCCACACGCCCAGAGCCCAAGCTCTTTTCATCTCCACTTCCATCGGCCTGACTGTCATCACCCCTTCCCCCATCGTTGCTTCTCACACACTCCCCACCTTGTACTGTATCACTTCCACCACCCTTCTCATCACTCTTCACCATCATCTCATCCCTAACCACCCCATTGCTTCCATCCCCGCCAGCTTCTAAGCCCCCTTCTTTCACAGCCACTTCCCCTTCCTCACTCCCCACCACTCCATGGACCCCCCTCTCCTCCCCGCTCCCCTCGGAATCCCCGTCTGTCCTCCTCCTCCCCCTTCTGCGCCTGCGCCGGCCGGGTGTGCCCTGTGCGGGAGCAGATGCGGGTGGCAGGCGGTGAGAGGGAGAGCCATGTGCTGATGGTCGTGGCGGGAACAAGCTGTGAGGGGACAGCACGGGGCAGCAGGGCGGGGGAGCACGGGAAGAGCAGAGTGGGGGTGTTGAGTTGGAGGGATGAGCGGTGTGCGAAAAGTGCAAGGGGAGCAGCCCATGAGGTGGTAAAGAGAGTCGAGGCAGGTTGAGAGGGGCGCAGGGAGGGTTGAGAGGGGCGCAGGGAGGGTTGAGAGGAGGGCGAAGGGAGGGTTGAGAGGAGGGCGAAGGGAGGGTTGAGAGGAGGGCGAAGGGAGGGTTGAGAGGAGGGCGAAGGGAGGGTTGAGAGGAGGGCGAAGGGAGGGTTGAGAGGAGGGCGAAGGGAGGGTTGAGAGGAGGGCGAAGGGAGGGTTGAGAGGAGGGCGAAGGGAGGGTTGAGAGGAGGGCGAAGGGAGGGTTGAGAGGAGGGCGAAGGGAGGGTTGAGAGGAGGGCGAAGGGAGGGTTGAGAGGAGGGCGAAGGGAGGGTTGAGAGGAGGGCGAAGGGAGGGTTGAGAGGAGGGCGAAGGGAGGGTTGAGAGGAGGGCGAAGGGAGGGTTGAGAGGAGGGCGAAGGGAGGGTTGAGAGGAGGGCGAAGGGAGGGTTGAGAGGAGGGCGAAGGGAGGGTTGAGAGGAGGGCGAAGGGAGGGTTGAGAGGAGGGCGAAGGGAGGGTTGAGAGGAGGGCGAAGGGAGGGTTGAGAGGAGGGCGAAGGGAGGGTTGAGAGGAGGGCGAAGGGAGGGTTGAGAGGAGGGCGAAGGGAGGGTTGAGAGGAGGGCGAAGGGAGGGTTGAGAGGAGGGCGAAGGGAGGGTTGAGAGGAGGGCGAAGGGAGGGTTGAGAGGAGGGCGAAGGGAGGGTTGAGAGGAGGGCGAAGGGAGGGTTGAGAGGAGGGCGAAGGGAGGGTTGAGAGGAGGGCGAAGGGAGGGTTGAGAGGAGGGCGAAGGGAGGGTTGAGAGGAGGGCGAAGGGAGGGTTGAGAGGAGGGCGAAGGGAGGGTTGAGAGGAGGGCGAAGGGAGGGTTGAGAGGAGGGCGAAGGGAGGGTTGAGAGGAGGGCGAAGGGAGGGTTGAGAGGAGGGCGAAGGGAGGGTTGAGAGGAGGGCGAAGGGAGGGTTGAGAGGAGGGCGAAGGGAGGGTTGAGAGGAGGGCGAAGGGAGGGTTGAGAGGAGGGCGAAGGGAGGGTTGAGAGGAGGGCGAAGGGAGGGTTGAGAGGAGGGCGAAGGGAGGGTTGAGAGGAGGGCGAAGGGAGGGTTGAGAGGAGGGCGAAGGGAGGGTTGAGAGGAGGGCGAAGGGAGGGTTGAGAGGAGGGCGAAGGGAGGGTTGAGAGGAGGGCGAAGGGAGGGTTGAGAGGGGGCGAAGGGAGGGTTGAGAGGAGGGCGAAGGGAGGGTTGAGAGGAGGGCGAAGGGAGGGTTGAGAGGAGGGCGAAGGGAGGGTTGAGAGGAGGGCGAAGGGAGGGTTGAGAGGAGGGCGAAGGGAGGGTTGAGAGGAGGGCGAATGGAGGGTTGAGAGGGGGCGAAGGGAGGGTTGAGAGGAGGGCGAAGGGAGGGTTGAGAGGAGGGCGAAGGGAGGGTTGAGAGGAGGGCGAAGGGAGGGTTGAGAGGAGGGCGAAGGGAGGGTTGAGAGGAGGGCGAAGGGAGGGTTGAGAGGAGGGCGAAGGGAGGGTTGAGAGGAGGGCGAAGGGAGGGTTGAGAGGGGGCGAAGGGAGGGTTGAGAGGAGGGCGAAGGGAGGGTTGAGAGGAGGGCGAAGGGAGGGTTGAGAGGAGGGCGAAGGGAGGGTTGAGAGGAGGGCGAAGGGAGGGTTGAGAAGGGGCGAAGGGATTATTAAGAGGAAGGCGATGAGAGGGTTGAGAGGAGGGCGAGGTTGATTGAGGGGAGGGCTCTTAACTTAGGATGCCATCACCCTCGCCCCAGGTAATGCACCCGTGGCACACCACAGCCAGCGCTCCACTCCAGCGTGCCTGCCCTCTAGCTCTCTTCTCCCTCCCGTCAATTCATACAGCCTATCTCGCTCCCCCTACCCCTTCCCTCTTCCCTACCCCATAGCTGCACCGCGTCTCACCGCAGTGCACCGCTCACCTGACCCAGCTGCCATCAGCCCCCAGCAGCGGGTTGGGAGCGCCCCACACGAGGCGGCCCACCCTGGCCTGCAGGATGGCGCCCGCACACATGGGGCACGGCTCTAGGCTCACGTACAGCGTGCAGTGCTGGGGGGGGGGAGGGGGGAGTGAGAGACGAGTGGTGGCGGGAAAGAGAAGATGGATAAAGGAGAGTGTGGGGAAGGATGGCGCCCGCACACATGGGGCACGGCTCTAGGCTCACGTACAGCGTGCAGTGCTGGGGGGAGGGTTAGGGGGATAGGGGGGAATGGAAGGTCTTAATGGGGAAAGATGGCCTTTGCACACATGGGGCAGGGCTGTAGCGTCACATACAACGTGCAGTGCTGGAGGAGGGGTGCAGCGAGAGGAGTGGGGGGGGGGAAGGAGGGTGTTTGGAAGGATGGAATGGATGGGCGGCCCCATACATGGGGCATGGCTCTAAGGTCACATACAACGAGCAGTGCGGGGGCAAGGGAGAGGAAGGGGGGGAAGGGGAGGAGAAGCGTGTGTGGAGGAGGATGGAAAGGATGGCAGCCTCACAGATGGAGCACGGCTCTAGGGTCACGTATATTGTGCAGCGCTGAGAGGGAAGGGTAGAAGGGATAAAGGGTATAGGGAGGATAGGGGGGATAGGTGGGATAAGGGGAAACGGAAGAGAGATGTGAATGGGGAAAGATGGCACCCGCACACATGGGACACGGCTCCAGTGTTGTTGAAATCCAGTGTTGTTGAAATCCAGTGTTGTTGAAATCCAGTGTTGTTGAAATCCAGTGTTGTTGAAATCCAGTGTTGTTGAAATCCAGTGTTGTTGAAATCCAGTGTTGTTGAAATCCAGTGTTGTTGAAATCCAGTGTTGTTGAAATCCAGTGTTGTTGAAATCCAGTGTTGTTGAAATCCAGTGTTGTTGAAATCCAGTGTTGTTGAAATCCAGTGTTGTTGAAATCCAGTGTTGTTGAAATCCAGTGTTGTTGAAATCCAGTGTTGTTGAAATCCAGTGTTGTTGAAATCCAGTGTTGTTGAAATCCAGTGTTGTTGAAATCCAGTGTTGTTGAAATCCAGTGTTGTTGAAATCCAGTGTTGTTGAAATCCAGTGTTGTTGAAATCCAGTGTTGTTGAAATCCAGTGTTGTTGAAATCCAATGCTGTTGAAATCCAGTGTTGTTGAAATCCAGTGTTGTTGAAATCCAGTGTTGTTGAAATCCAGTGTTGTTGAAATCCAGTGTTGTTGAAATCCAGTGCTGTTAAATCCAGTGTTGTTGAAATCCAGTGTTGTTGAAATCCAGTGTTGTTGAAATCCAGTGTTGTTGAAATCCAGTGTTGTTGAAATCACTCTTGAGAATTCTCAGAAGGGTCACGAACACTCTGCAGTGCTGGGAGGCGGGGCGGGTCTGAAAGATGGGCAGCGGCAGGGAGGAGGATAGTGGGGGAAAGGAACGTGAGAATGTAGGGAAGGATGACCTTTGCTTTTTGCACACGAAGCAAAGCTGCAGCTTCACGTACAGCGTGCACTGCTGGGGGAGGGGTTGCAATGAAGGGAGGGGGAGGAACATGTGCTAAAGGATGGGCCCTGAACACACACGCATGGCTGCAGAGTCACATTCAACATGCGGCACTGCCTGGTGCCATGATAGTGGGAGAAGTGCGGTGGGGGCGAAGGTGGGTGGTGGCGGAAGGGGGAAAAAGGGGTATGGAGGGGGAAGGATTAGCTCTTGCGCACATGGCAAAGGGCGACTGTGGCACAGGCAAGCAGCGTGTGGCGCTGCCCTGGGGAGAAGGAGGGGTTATGAAGGACGGGTGGTGTCGCGGAGGAGGATCCGGGAAGGGTGTGAAAGCGGAAGGATCGCACACGTGGGCAATACAATCGGCTCAAGCATCATGCAGAGGATGATGCCGGGTGTAGGTTGAAACGGGAAAGGATGAACGAATTGGGGGGGGAGAGAAACATGGAAAGCTAGAATGGGAGGCAAGTGGGAGGGTTATTGTGCAACAGATATCTCAATTGCTGCACTGCACTGTACCATGTGCTTTGTGGCATCTTAAAAGTGGAAAGGCACTGCAAGGCAAGCACAGGCGGCCATATGGAGTTGCACCTCACAAACGATTCTCACAACCTCCGCGGCAGCACCATCCCTTCCCTCGCTTCACAAAGTTCATATGTGCTTTAGCAGACGGGCAGGGAGGTAAAGGCTATTATTCCTCGGTTGCCCGGCCCTGCAGGTGGGGCCACGGGCAGAGTGGCTGGGAAGCCAGAAAGCGAGCAGGCAGATGCATACAGAGCTTGGGGCGGCTGGACGTGCATGTTGCCTCCAGCCGAGGAGGGCAGCTTGCCTGCAGTAGGCGCCAGTGGGCGAGGTGGGAGCAGGCCGCTCGGATGCACAGCATCTCCGCATGGGCCGTGGGGTCACCACTGGCCTCACTCCTGTGCAGTGCAGTGTGGGGAAGGGGGCGGTGGAGCGGAGTGGAAGAGAAGATGGGATTGAAATGGGAAAAGAATCTTAGGAAAAACAGGGAGAGGGTTGGAGCGGGGGGTGGGGGGGGTGGTTAAATGCAATGCTATGTTGACTGTTGCAGAATGCATTGCTTGATATAAGTGATCAATTGGGATCCCAAAGAGAGGAGTAGCTAGTACTCCCAATGCCTCACAATGAGGTCCACATTACAAGGTGTGCCGAGCAGTGGCACGGAGGCATGGGAGAGCAGAGCAGCATGGCTCACAGGTTGTGTGCGCGGGCAACAACGGTGCCACCATCCATCACCATGACTGCCCCCACTGGTACCTCCCCCGCACCTGCTGCCTTCCGCGCCTCTTCCACTGCCTCCCTCATCCACTCCCTGTCTCTCACCACTGCCTCCTCCCCCTCCTCCTCCCCCTCCTCCTCCCCCTCCTCCTCCTTCTCCACCCCAGCCTCCTTAGCGCACCCAGCCTCCCCAGCATAAATCCAAGCATCACCACCATCATGCGTTGCAGCCTGCCCGCCCGTCAACCCCCCTGCTGCGCGCTGCACTACTCCCCCACTCGCATCACCACCCCGCTTCTCACTCTCCCCTCCCCCACTCCCCCTCCATCAAATTCCCCAACCCAAGACAGCACAGCACACACAGGAACACGCGGGCAACATAAGCATAATGGAATGCAGGATTCAAGGCTTTGCGCGCCGATACCTGAAAGTCTCAAAATTGCTTTCAATTCAACACTGACACCTTGCCATCCCCCTTGTCTAATGCCATGCAATTCCATCCCATGCCAAACCATGCCAGCCCATGCCAACCCATGCCATCCCATGTCATGCCATGCCATGCCATGCCATGCCATGCCATGCCATGCCATGCCATGCCATGCCATGCCATGCCATGCCATGCCATGCCATGCCATGCCATCCCATGCCATGCCATCCCATCCCATCCCATCCCATCCCCATCCCATCCCATCCCCATCCCATCCCATCCCATCCCATCCCATCCCCATCCCATCCCATCCCCATCCCATCCCATCCCATCCCACCCCATCCCATCCCATCCCATCCCATCCCATCCCATCCCATCCCATCCCATCCCATCCCCATCCCATCCCATCCCCATCCCATCCCATCCCATCCCATCCCATCCCATCCCATCCATCCCATCCCATCCCATCCAACCCCATCCCCATCCCATCCCATCCCATCCCATCCCATCCCATCCCATCCCATCCCATCCCATCCCATCCCATCCCATCCCATCCCATCCCATCCCATCCCATCCCATCCCATCCCATCCCATCCCTCCCATCCCATCCCATCCCATCCCATCCCATCCCATCCCATCCCATCCCATCCCATCCCATCCCATCCCATCCCATCCCATCCCATCCCATCCCAGGACCCATGGGCCTCACCTGCACGCCGTCCAGCTGTGGATCAGACGCCTCTCTCTACCGCCACCACCACCACTGCTGTTGCCGCTTCTGCTGCTGCTTCTGCTGCAGGCGCCAAGGGTGCTATCGTCGCCACTGCCCACAGAGGCAGGCGCGGACACGGAATGCCGGGGGCATGCAGCAGACAGGAATGGCACGCAACATGGTGACCATGAGCGCATCACATGCGCCATAGCGGCCCCCCCGTACGCCACGTCAACGCGCAAGCCGTGCGGCCGTGCGGGAGTGTCCCACCGCCCGCCACAACGCATCAACCGCGATGCTGCTGCAGCACCCGCATCCCCTCCGCGCCATCTCCGCCACCGCGCTTCGAGCTTCCCGGTAGCGCAGCGACCAACTCTAGCCCCTGTAGCTAATCCTAGCCCCTCGGAGGTACGCGCTAACACGGCGGCTTCTGGTGTGGCGCTCCAAACAGCAGGTTGTGCGGCTATAGGGGAGCGGCGACCCGCTCCTCTCCGCAGCCCGAATGACCGTGGCTTTGTTGCGCCGTCAGCAGCTACACGATTTGCGGAGGATGATGCGGGACGCGGTACGGAGATTGACACAACGAGTCGATGCGGCTTGGACGAGAGGAATGCTCGCGAGCAGACAAGCACCATGGTGGGCTGAGAGGGAAGCACAGGAAGCGGAGGGCAGAAAAGGAAACTGGAAGTGATGGGAAAGGCAGGAAGACAAGGCCACAAAGTGTGGGCTGCAAGGGACGGGAGGCAACGGAAGGGCGAGAAGAGAAGGGCAGTATGGGTAGGGCCGGAAGGAAAGGAGATCATGGGAAGGGTTTGGAAGAGGAAGGACTGGAGGTCCTGGGCAGGCATTGTAAAAGGAAAGAACAGGGGCACATAGCGAGAAGACTCACATCACAGTGCACGGGAAAGCGTAGCTTCTCTTTGTGCCCCGCTATGCTGGCGGTTTCCGGTGTCAGCCCTCACTCCCCTACACTTGCCCGCGCCATCACTTGCTGAGAGGTAGCAGCCCTGAGCAGCAGCTGTAGCGGCGGAGTGGGTGGCAGTAGCTACAAGGACACGCCACTGGAGGGCGGGCGAGGGACATGGCCGGGAATTGCACGGAAGGGTGAGCGAAATGGATGAAACGGGAGGGGAGGAGCGTGCAGATCAGGGGATGGAGATGGAATGGCAGGAATCGGAGATGAGAAGGTGGAAAGGGGAGAATGGGAGGCGGGAAGGGGAGAACGGGGGGACGGGATGGGAGAACGGGAGGCGCGAATGGGAGATGGCTTGGCGGGAAGGGGAGAATTGGCGGCGGGAAGGGGAGAATGGGCGGCGGGAAGGGGAGAATGGGGGAAATGGGAAGGTATGAAGGGGAATGGCGGCGAAAGGCAAGGGAAGATGGTTCAGCTGAAAAAGGAGCTGGCGAGGCGGCCGTCGCGATCTCACCTGCGACTGCGGCGGCTAGTGCGGCGGCTAGTGAGCGAGCGGGTGCCGAATGAGATTGTGCGAGAGCACGCTAATCGGCAGTGTGGGGCGCGGCGAGCGTGCTTACAATGGCGTGAATCGGCAGTGCGGGGCGGCGTGGCGACGATGCGACGGGCGTCGAGGCGAGGCTGCGCGCGGCGAGGACCGGGAGGCAGCACGGCGCGGCGCGGCCTCTAGAACTGGCGCGGCGAGGTCGCGTGCAAGGGCTTGCGGTGGCGAATGCGGCCGTCCTAAACCTAAGATTGTCGATATGGTCGCGTCGCTTAGTGGTCACGTAGTTTCTAGAGGGCCTACGGAGTGTGTGACGAGCGTGTTGCGTGAGTGGCCTACCGAGGTTGTACGAGTTCCGGGTCAGCGCGTTCATTTCTCATGATTGGACAGTTCATCCGTCGTGGTGCAACAAGATTCCAGTCGGTTAAAAGCGTGATTTGAAATAAACCGTTTTAAAACGTGACGAAACGAGAGCAACCGTTCAAAATGAACTGTACTGTCACTGTAAACGAACGCGCTGACCCTGCCCGGGGTGACGTCGTCAAACAACGTGAGGACGAAACGAAACTGCCGGAAACATTACGCACTGCGAGTCGTACCAGGTTCGTATCACAAGCAGATAGGGAATTGTAACTGTCGCACCACCAGAACAATTTCCAAGTTCCAACATCTCATTGCTGATTGTTCCGAGGTTTTCACGATTGCCGTCCCCATGCACCGTCACGTATCACATCTTCGATGGCTTTCGTCAACCCTGAGCTGGCGCGCGATTGTCCTGCCCGAATGGAAGCGGGTTACCAGCGACGAGCGTCGCCTGCGTGCATTGGGGTTGTCGTCGTTTGGTCCTGCCATTCTCGTTCCGTTCCGTCAGTTAGGCCAACGGCGACGCGCAGTTGTTGTTGGAGCAGTGCAAGCGGAACGAGTGATCAGGGTGAGAGATGGGGCATTTCAGAGATCAGCGGCCGAGATCAAGCCAGGATTCAAATCAGAGGCCAGGAAGCAAATCAACAACGAACATCAGCCGTCGATGGACCTAGCGAAGATGAGATGATACAGGTAAACCTGACCAGCCTTGTGCATCCAACCCGCTCTGCTCGTTGTGCTTCTCAATCCAATCTGCTGTGATGCAAAGAACCCTCGCTTCATGCATCCTCATCCAGCCACTTCCGATCACCAAAATGCTCAAAGCTCTGTTTTCCAGGCGAGGGTTTCACAACTTCAGCAATGGAGTTGCGCTTTTTCACACATACAGGCCTTCAAATGCCGAGCAGACGTTATTTAGAGTGAAGCTCTTCAAGTAAAGCTGTTTTACGAGAGTATTCGCGAAAGCAAGAGTGCAAGTTGCTGAGCGGTTTTCGAAATAGGCCCGCTTATGACGCTTGCTAAGCCAGCGTCAATCCCACCGGCACGTCGCGAATAGAACAAAGTAGTCGCGATGGACGGCGACGATTCAAGTAGCCAATTATCGGGGTCCGGGAAACAGAGGAAGATCCGCAAAACGCCGCTGCAGCTGGAGAGATTGGAAGAGGTCTTTGCTGGTAAACACTCGCTCGTCGTCGCAGTCTACTTTCGCCGCACTCGAGCTTCTGTTACTTCTTCAAACTTACGATCAGTATTTTACACAGTAGGATCCATTTAGCCAGCGAAAACATTTTGGCATTTGGTGAGAGTAGTCGCGATTCTTGTTCCGCGAGACACGTCTACAGAGACACCTCGTCACGTGCAAGCAACTCGCGAATCATTCTCCGCCAACCAGAGAAATCACCTTTGTTTCTCCTCGCCCTTCCGCGCCCCTCTACCTCGCCACCCGCCATCCGCCCCGCGCAGTGCACAAGTACCCGTCGGACGACTTGCGCGCGTCGCTGTGCGCGGAGCTGGCGCTCACGGACCGCCAGCTGCAGATGTGGTTCTCGCACCGCCGCCGCAAAGACCGCATCCTCGAGAACTCCGCCGCCGCCTCCGCCTCCGCCGCGCCCAAGCCGCCCGCCACCGCATTCCCGCGCACCGCTGGCCCGCTGGGCCAAGGCCTCGCACAACCTGGTCTCACCACCCCTTTCTCCATCACCGCCGCCGCCGCCGCCGCCGGCGCCGCCGCTGGTGGTGGATCCGATGCGGCGGAGTCACTAGCGTCGCCTAGGCTGGGCGGCGATGCGAATGCGGAGGCGGGCGCAGAGCAGCCTGGGGGCGGTGCGCGCGTGAGCAGCCTCCTTGCGGGACGCGCGCTTTCCACGGACGCGGCCCCTGGCGCGGCGGCGCGCGCGGGCGTGTTCCGCATCCCCGCCCTCCCCGCTAAAACTCTCCCCGCCCCCCTTGGCGCGTCTCCCGTCCTCTTTGGCCGCCCCCTCGCCCCCGCGCCTGTACCCGCCGCGCCCCTCCCGCCTGGCCCCGCGGATTCTGCGGATGCGCGTGGAAGCGGAGGCGAGGGGAGGGCGGGGGAAGGGTACGTGTGGTGGCAGGGGGAGGGCGTGCGGAAGCTGTCAGTGGTGGGCGCGGGCAGGGCGCAGAGGGAGGGGGGTGCGGGGGGGGTGTCAGGGCTGATGGCGCACGAGGAGCTGGAGGAGCAGCACGACAGCAGGGCTGGGCGCGCAGGCGGGGGACATGCAGCGTTGGGTAGCGGGTCTGTTGATCCTGGTGCGGGGGGTGGTGCTGCTGTGGCATGTGCACGCACCACTCCCCGGGCCGCTGGGAGTGGCAGGGGCGGCGCACAAGGCGCAGGGAGCGCGGGGGGGGTAGGGGGGAAGGGAGTGCAGGGCAGCGCAGAGGCGCCACGTGCGGCAGTGGCTGGCGGGGCTTTTAATGCAGCAGGGACGGCCGTGGTAGCAGGCACGGGTGGGAGGGGAGCGGCAGGCACAGTCGGGGCGGAAGGGGGTGCGTGGAAGGGCGTGGGGCAGGGGATGTGTTTTGATGCTTACCCCCCTGCAACGAGCATGCCACGTGGCCTTGCCAACGGCGAATCTGCTGTTGCCAGCTCAGCGGCATGGCAGAGTGAGCCGAGCAGCTGGAGAAGGCAGGATGGGAGCAGGGAGTGGGTGGCAGGCGGGGAGGAGGAGGATGAGGAGGAGGAGGAGGAGGAGGCGGTGGAGAGGGTGAGGAGGGGCATGGGAGGCGAGTACCGGTTGGAAGGGCCGCCACTGAGTGCCGTGTTTGACCCCGTGCCTGCTCTGCGCTTCAACCTCGCCCTTGGTGCGATCTGCCTCGACCTCTCCGCTTCAGCGTGCTTCAGCAACCGCCATTTTTCACCATTACAGGATCCATCCACCCACCCACCGTCCCATGTGCACGCGCGTGCCTGCCATGTTGAATCATGAGCCGCCCTTAACCTCGCCCCTGACATGCCCTTGCATCACGGTCATGATCGGTACAATGCAATGTGGTTCTGTGCCGATGCTTTCGTCCTCGCCCTGCCTTACCGTTCCTCGGTGTGTGTGTGTGTGTGTGTGTGCGCGCGCGCGCGCGCGCGCGCGTGTGTGTGAGCAGTGCGCAAGGCGAGGGTGGGGCCAGGCACGACCCAGCCACAGCAGGGGGCAGGCGAGCATGACGAGGAGAAGGGGATGGGGGGACAGGGCGGAGTGGGGGATGATAGGATAGGGCAGGGTGGGGAAGGGCAGCAAGGCACAGCTGAGGTGAGGCCAAGGCCTTGGTCACATGGCTTGGCGCTCGCTCTTGCTCTCATCCGTCCCTGCTGCTCCCTTTTCCTGTCGCTCCCCGTCTCGCATCTGCCGCCTGTGACTCTCGCGCTCTGTGTCGTCCGTTTGTCCGTCCTCTCTCTTCCTTCCTGCACCCTTCCCTCGCTGTCATCCCCAAGGCATTGACCAGCCCAGAGCCACCTCTGCCCTTTGCCGTAGTCCTTTTCATGCCTTCTCCATATCATGCCTGCTCCTGTCCTGTACTGCTCACCCTCCTCTCGCGGCCCATCCCATTAACCGCTTTGTGTCTCACCCCCCCCGCATCCCCCATGCGTTGTGTTGCGCACCCCGCTGCCCCACGGCAGGCGTCCACTGTCGCTGCAACACGCCCTGCAGTGCGCGCCTCTCCCTCGCACGCTCTGGACCCGCCACACACGCTGCCCGCCTCTGCCTCCGCCAGTGGGCCGCTGCGCGCTGCTGATGGGGCCCTGCGCCCCGCCACTGGCGCACCTGCTGGCATCACTGCCAACGGGACTTCACACCCGTCACCAACTGCTGCTGCTGGTATCAACCAGCCTGGTCAGCATCACCACGCGGCAACAGGAAGGGCGGGTTTGGAGGGGCTGATGAAGCAGGAGGAGGAGGAGGAGGAGGAGGATGAGGGTCAGGAAGAGGGAGAGGGCAGTGGGGAGGAAGGGGCAGACCTGCTGCACCTGCTCACTGCTGCTGCCTCGGGGTCGCCGGGCTTTGCTGCTGGGGGAGGCAAGGGTGCGATGAATGGCGTGGGGGAGAAGGGGAGAGGAGGAGCGGGTGGGAGCATGGTGGTGCGTGGGAGTAGAGGCGTGGAGAAGGGGGAAAAAGCGAATGGAAGCGATTGCGGGGTGGGGAATCGAGGAACAGGTGTGGAGAACGGTGGTATGAGACTAGTGGATGGGTTGGAGGGAGGGTTTGAAGGGTTGTGGGAAGGGAAGAAGGGCGGGGGGATGGGAGTGGGGGGTAGGGATGCTGAACCGGCAGAGGAAGAAGAGGAGGAAGAGGAGGAGGAAGAGGAGGAGGAGGACGAGGAGAATGAGGGGGAGGAGGAGGAGGAAGGGGAGGAGGCTTCGCAAGAGGAGTCAGGGCAATGTGAGGAGAGAGGAAGCGAGGAGAGGCCTGGGAAGAAGAGGCAACGGCAGGGAGGTGGCATTGATGGTGGGGTTGGGGCGGCACAAGGGAGCATGGCGGGTGGCGAGGAGGGGGAAGACGGGTCACAGCGAGGCGAGGTGGCAGGGAACGGGGCGAAGCAGAGCGGCAGAAAGAGGAAGAAGGTGAGCTGGGCTGCTTGCAGTGTAGCGCACAACCCCCACGTTGGGCTTCTTGCAGTGTAGCGCACAACCCCCACGTTGGGCACAGGCTGTGCCACGCTGTGCCTCAAAGGCTGCTTCTTCGCCCTTCCAAACAGCCAATCTAGTGCCGTGCCGCCCCAACATGCTTCCTCGGGGCTGCCAACCCTCCCTCCTTCTCATCGCTGTACGCTGCTCTGCTGCATGCCTGCCCCCGCGCTGTGCCTTGTGTGGTGTGCGTGGCGGGGTGGCAGCAGGGGGAGGAGGGGCGGGTGCGCAAGGAGCAGCAGCAGCAGAAGAAGCGCGTGAGGCGCGAGGCGGAGAGGCACGAGATGGCTCAACGCAAGGTGCGCTCCCCTGGCTGCTTGGGGCACTGGCAGTGACGGGGGGTGGGGAAGGGAGAGGGGGGAGAGGGGAGGGAGGGAGAGGGGAAGGGGTGAGGTTGGGTAAAGAGCTTGAAAAAATTGTGTTCCGTGTTGTTTTTTTCCTTTGTCGTTCATCTTTTGTTGTGTTGCCGCCTCTGACCTGCTTCTGTGCCGTGCTGCTGGCTTGTGCAATGATTGCTTGCTTGCTGCAACAGATGCAGGAGGCGGCACGGCGAGCAGAGGAGAGGCGACGAAGGGAGGAGGAGAGGGAGGAGCGGGAGAGGCACAAGGAGCAAGCGAGGGAGGCGAGGGAGCGGCAGCGCGAGGAGGAGAGGGAGGCACGAGAGCGGGAGAAGGAGAGGGAGAGGATGGTTCGGGAGAAGAAGCGGGAGGAGGAGCGGCAGGCACGGGAGCAAATGAAGGAGAGCATTCAGGTGAGGCGCCTGCCTGTCGTGCGTCCTGCCCACTCAGCTGCCCGCTCAGCTGAGCGCCGTCCCCTGCGCTGCCTCCTCATTGTCTTTGTGTCACCCATCGATTCTGTCTTGCACCTTCACTCACGACTCCCTTTCACTTGCTGACGGTGGGGAAGCGCGCACAGCAGCGGTTGCAAGCAGGAGACACGGGCACTGTGCATTCGATTCGCCCCTTTTGCACCCTGCCCTCCTCTCCTGTGTGCCTTCTGTTAGTGTTAGTCTTCAATCTCACAATTTGTACTTTGTATTTTCTATATCCTAGAGTAGTGTAGTTTGCACATTGTGTTTGGTTGGGTGTACACCTACATCCCAACCAAACCCAAATGTAATCTCCAACCAATCTCCAACCCACCAATTGGAGATTGCCTTGGGATTACCCCCAATCCCTAGAGATTGCCCCCGATTCCCTTCCCCATCCTTTTCCTACCCCTCTTGGATGTACTTAAAGAGCTTCAAGCTCATTACTAATGTATCAGTTCTAAGCCTATTTCTGACACCTTCCTCCCCACGCAGACACCTCCCACGTACACACGCCCCTCTCTCCCACCCGCCTTCCCCCGGACCCTCTGTCTCTATTATCCTGGCCGCCCGCCCTTCCCAATGCAGGTGGCGAGGCGGCAGCGGCGGAGGTGACTTTTGAGTCGACTCAAACATGCCTTCTCTCCAAACACCCCCCTTCCCTTGGATCCTCTGTCTCTACTATCCCACCCGCCCTCAACGCAGGTGGCGCGGCGGCAGCGGCGGGAGGAGCAGAGGCGGGCGCGGGAGGCGGCGAGGGAGCGAGAGCAGGCGGAGAGGGCCAAGGCGCGCCAGGCAGCGCGGGCGGCCCTGCAGCTGGTGGACGACCGCCAGCTGGAGCTGCAGGCGATGGGTGCTGCCAGGACGCTGCTCGAGACTGCCAGTGCGGGTGAGGGTGAGGGTGAGGGTGAGTGTGAGTGTGAGGGGGAGGGGGAGGGGGAGGGGGAGGGGGAGGGGGAGGGGGAGGGGGAGGGGGAGGGGGAGGGGGAGGGGGAGGGGGAGGGGGAGGGGGAGGGGGAGGGGGAGGGGGAGGGGGAGGGGGAGGGGGAGGGGGAGGGGGAGGGGGAGGGGGAGGGGGAGGGGGAGGGGGAGGGGGAGGGGGAGGGGGAGGGGGAGGGGGAGGGGGAGGGGGAGGGGGAGGGGGAGGGGGAGGGGGAGGGAGAGGGAGAGGGAGAGGGAGAGGGAGAGGGAGAGGGAGAGGGAGAGGGAGAGGGAGAGGGAGAGGGAGGAGAGGGAGGGGAGAGGGAGAGGGAGAGGGAGAGGGATAGGGCCAGGGCGCGGTTGAGGCCTGCAGCTGCTGGTGGACGACCGGCAGCTCGAGCTACTCATGGCTGCTGGCGCGCCCAAGGGTGGCGAGGGCGCATGTGAGGATGAAGGGGAGGGAGGGAACGAGGAGAATGGTGGCAGGAGGGATGTGGTGAGGGAAGGGGGTGGAGGGCGTGGCCATGGCCATGGATGCGCTCACGAGTGAGTTGCATGTGCAGGGGAGAGGGGGGAAAGGGACGGAGGCAGGGAATGGGGATGGTGGTGACATGCGGAAGGTGGTGAGGGAAAGGTGTGAATGGGGATGGTGATGACCTCGAGTGAATTGTGTGTGGCCTTCACAAAGAAATCACACTTTCTCTACTCCCGCCTTTACATGCACAGCAAATGTTCAGTCAAACACCCCTTATTCCCTCCCGTTCCACTTTTTCTTTCTCTTCCACAATTTGTGTTGTCTCTCTCCCTCGTCTGATTTCACTCGTTCTCCCCCACGCCTCTCAGTTTTCCCATCTCATTACTTTGCTCCCCATCCGTCCCTCCCTACCCCCCCAGAGCACCTACCGCCCTTCCCCCCGCCCGCAGTGCGCCGCCACCCAGTGCTTCCCGGCGCGCCCTGGTGCTCTAAACCCCAAGCCGTCAGCGACCTCCTCATGGTGCGCCCCCCCTCCCCTCTCCCCTCAACATGCTCGCCCCCCACCCCCCCCTCCCCTCCCTGCTTCTCCGTTTCCCATCCAATCATTTGCGGCTTCTCCTCTCTCGCCTCCGCCTGCTGCCTCTCCTCTGCTGCAGCCTCGTTGTGGTTCCGCGTGTGTCCAGCCATTTCTCCTCTCTCACTCCACGCCCTCACAGCCTCCCATGCCACCGCCAAACCCACTCTGTGCTCTCTTCCTCGCACCATCGTTCCTGACGACCAGTCCCGGTGGTCCTGTTCTCTCTCTCGGGGGCAATTTTTCCGTCCACACAAACTCGTCCTCCCTCTCTCATCCTCTCTCCCCCCTCCCACCCCCTGCAGGTGTATTCGTTCCTCACCACCTTCGCAGACACCCTCGCCCTCTGGCCCTTCTCCCTGCACCACCTCGCACACGCGCTCCACCTCCCTGTCAGTGCACCCACCCTGGTCTGCTCGACTCTCCCATTCTCTTCTCTTCTCTGCTCTGCTGTGTGAGTGTGCTCGCGCGCCTTCTTTGACTCTCACACTCACTCACAGTGAGCAAGCCTGCAAGGCCGGGAGAGAGCGGATTCGAGTGTGATGAGTGGCGGCGCTGCTGCAGCGCTGCAGTCCGCATGCCACTGCTTGCCCTCTCGGATCCTCGTACTCATGCACTCTCTGCACTTGCTCCCTCGTCCTGCCCACTCTATAGTGCATGCCACTGCAGCGCTCTCTCAACACGCGCGCTCGTCTCGCCCACTTGCTGCCTCGCATGCACTATGACGTCACCTCTGCTGCTCTTTCCGCATCACCTGCCTTGTCTGCCATTTTGCACTCACGCCGTCTCTCCCGTCTCTCCCGTGTCATGGCCACCATCAGGAGTCGCGGCTACTGACGGAGATTCATCTCTCGCTCATGCGAGTGCTCCTCGTTGACACCGTGCCAGCCCTCGCCACTGCAGCACCACCAGCAACCCCAGCAGCAACTGTACACGCACAAGCTGCCATGCGCCCCCCCAGCCGTGCAGCTCTCGATACCGCAAACCACCACACTGCCACCCCGTGGTCACTTCACCCTAACCTTAACCCTATCCCTGCTGCTAACCCTAGCTCCGACCACCTGAGCAACTTGCATAGACCCAACAAAGGAACGAGGGGAGGCACAGCCGTAGATGCACCAACCGGCACAGATGCGCCAACGGCCGTAGATGTAACTGCGGTTGGCGACAGGGGAGCCGATGGAGCTGGGGGGAGAGCAGCGCGGACGGCGGGCATGGCAGCAGCGGTGGCGGAGGCATTGGCAGCAGCAGTGGGCGGGTCCGACACTGCCCGGGCACTTGTGCTGCACTCCGCTGCTGCTGTCGTCTCTCAGGTGAGCGGGAGCTGGCATATCGGGGTAACCGTGTAACGGTTGTCGCATGTGCGGTGCGTGGCAGAAGTGCAGTGCGGTGCAGTAAAGGATGCGTTGTGTTCACCACTGTGCTTGCAGGCCCCACTCTCCACTCAATCCCCTGTCACTCTCCCTCTGAGATCCACTTCTATGTACACCAGCGATCCTCCCTCCTTCCACTCCACCCACAAGCCGTCGCCACACCATTCTCTCTCCCACAATCTCCTCACCCCTCCCAGGCGCGTGAGTGGGGCTTCACGCCGAGCCTGTGGCGCGCCCTGCTGGGCCCGCTCACATGGCCCGAGGTGCTGCGCCAGTACGCCCTCGCTGCGCCTGGGGGCCTCCCCGCCCCCCTCCTCCGCGGCGCCGCCACCGCCGCCTTCACAGCCGTTGCTCCCGAGGGGCGCCCACGCATGGGCACGCCTGTGCTGCGGGCGTTGGTGCGGGCGGCGACTGCAGCGATGAGAGTGGTGACGAGGTGAGGGAGGTTGGATGGTGGCATGGTGGCATGATGGTATGTTGAGCTGAGGAAGTGTGATGGTGGCAGAAATGGGGAGGCATGAGAACGTTGGCATGTCTGTGTGAAGATGTGTGCATGAGTGAGACTGTGTGGAGCAAGTGTGCACACTGTGCATGAGTGTCATGGTTGCTTCGCTCAGTCGCCTTTGCAACCAAGTAAGAGGGCAACATGTCTGTTTTGCATTGGTCCATGCCCCACCACTCCCTCCCACACCGCTGCAGGCTGCTGACCAAGAAGCACTCGTTGCTGACCTGGCATCAGGCAGGGCAGCTGACGTGGCGGCACAGCGGGCGTTTGAGGAGCAGCAGGAGTGGCGGGAGGAGCAGCGGCGGCAGCTGCACGCGCAGTACCTCGCATACCTCGCTGCTGGTGGCGGCCGCTTCAGCGACGATGAGGAGGATGACAAGCAGGAGGAGCGGAACACAGGGGCATGGGCAGGGGGAGTGGGGAAAGCGTGGGAAGGGGCAGGAACTGCCAGAGGGGATAGCAAAGGCAGTGTTGGTGCTGCCACCGACACAAACCCTCTCCCCCCTGCCACTGCCTCTCCTCCTCCAAAGACCCCGCCAGCTCACAGCAGCAGCCCTGGCGTGTCGGCAGTGCCGCGCATGGTGGCACGGCTGGCGCCCGGCACAGTGAAGTTCGCGGCGTTCCACGTGCTGGCGTACGAGGGCGCTGCTGGGCTGCCCGTCACCACGCTCGCACAGCGCATCCAGCACTGCGGGCTGCGGGACCTGTCTGGCAGCCGCACCCCCGAGGCCACCATTACTGGCGCGCTGGCGAGAGACCCGCTGTTCCAGCGCGTGGCGAGCTGCACCTACTGTGTGCGCGGGGCGTACAGGCGCAGCGAGGGGGAGCGGGAGGAGGGGCTGCGGGAGGCTGTTGAGCTGGTGAGACGAGCTGCGGATGGGCGGAGGGGAGGAGAGGAGGGAGGGGAGGGAGACGAGGGGGAGGATGGGGAGGAGGGAGAGGGGGGAGAGGATGGAAAGGAGGAGGGTGGTGAGGATGAGAAGGAGGTGGAGGTGGAGGGTGCGGGAGACAGTGGGGTGGAGAGTAAGGGAGGGAGGGATGGTGAGGAACGGGGTGGTGGGACGGAGGCGGGAAGGCAGCAGAATGAGAAAGGGCAGGACGAGCCAATGCATGTGGATGGGCTGAGGGGTGAGGGCAGTGGTGGTGGTGAGGGCGGTGAGGAGAGAGTACGCCATCAAGGTAGTGAGGTGGGTGAGGGAACGGTGCACGAGGAGCAGAGGGGGGCCAGTACCGCAGTGGAGGAGACGGTGGTGAGTGATGTGGTGGTGACAGGTGTGATTGAGTGTGGCCTGCCGCTACCAGGTGGCAGTGGCAGAGCGAGTAGCCGCGGTCCAAGGATGCGCGCACTCCTCTGAGAGATGCAGCAGCGGCGACTAAAGCTGAAGCAGAGGGGGCATGCGGGCAGGGTGGAGGTGATGATGAGCAGGGCCCTATTCTCGGCTGCGTGGTGCATGATGAGACGATGAGCGTGGCAGCAGGCAGTGATGTGCGGATGGTATGCTGCGACAGGGAGGGGGCGGCGGAGGTGTTGGGAGGGGAGGTGAAGGCGGTGAATGGGATGGAGGGAGGGCATGGGCGAGGCGAGGGTGAGGTGAAGAGTGAAGAGGCACTTGAGAAATTGCAAGGGCAGGGTGGGGACGAGAGGCAGCAGCAGGACGCGGCTGAGAAGGGTGGTGGTGATGGTGGTGATGGCAGCGAGTGGAAGTGGGAGTCTGATGAGGAGGGGGATGGAGAGGAGGACGCAATGGAGGGGGAGGGGGGCGGAGAGGGGGAGGCGGGGCAGGGGAGGGCGTGGGTTTTGGCGCTGGGAGGGGTGGAGTACAGCGAGCTCAGTGTGGAGGAGCGCCTTCACCTGCTCGTTGACCTGGTCAACGCAGTCAACGACTCCTCCACCATCCGCGCTGCCATTGAGGTGCGCTCTCTCTCCGCCCCTCTTCTCAATTCTACCTCCCCTTACTTCCCAATTGCTTAAACCTAGACCAAGGTGCACTCCGCCCATCGCTTCTATACTTTCCCTGCTAACCCCACTCCTGTTCCAACCTCCTCATTCTCCCCTGCTCCTCCCCCGTGTCCATGGCACCAGGCGCGGTACGAGGTGCAGTCGTCATACCGCCGGCAGCGGTGGGTGGAGGCGTCGCTGCACCGCAGGAAGGGCGCCTGGCGGCCCCCCGCCCTCCTCCCCGCCTCCCTGCCCCTCTGCCGCCCCCCCCACGCTGCTGCGGGTCCTGCTGGTGACGCTGCACCTAGTGCTGCTGCTGATACTGACGCTGGTGCTGCTACAGCTGCTGGTGGCGATGGCGGTGCAGCAGCAGGAGCGCCCACCACGTCGACCCCCCCTATTCAAGCTGCTGCAGCACCCGCTCGGGACCAGGCGGTGGGAGCGCAGCTGCAGGCGTCGCCCTCCCAGGCCCCTCTGCTGCTGCCACCACCCCTGTCGGGCACACAGGGGGTGCTGTCAGAGATGAGAGAGAGCGATGATGGTGGGGAGAGAGGGGATGTGAGGGAGGAGGGGAAGCTGGTAAAGAGAGAGGAGGAAGAGGAGAGTGTAAGGAGTGTGGAGGAGTGGCAAGGAAAGAGTGGAGGAGAAGAAGCAACAATGGCAAGGAGCAGGGATGAGAGAGTGCAGCACAGGGCTTCTGAGGCTCTGGAAGAGGCGGAGGGAAGAGCTTCTGTGGTGCCCCAAAAGGCTGAGGAGAGGGAGGCGGGGAAGAGGGGGGCAGAGGAGCAAGCAGTGAAGCAAGAAGTGAAGGCGGCGGAGGAATGTGAGGGGCGGGTGCATGGGGAAGAGGCGGTGGAAAGGAGGACGGATGGCTGTGTGGAGGTGGAGGGAGTGGAGGGGTGCAGCACGGAGGAGCAGATGGAGCAGGAGGGCACAGGGGAGCCGAAGGAACAGGTGGAACAAAGGGAGAAGGAGAGGACACAGGAAGAGTCAATGCATGATGCAACGGCGGAGGGGGAGGAGAAAAGTGGGTCTGAGGCAGAGAAGCAGTTGGCGGAGGAGGGAGTAGTTCCAATGTCCCTTGATTCTCCTGCTGTTGCTGCTCCTGCTGATACCGTTGCTTCTGCTGCTGCTGCCACTGTCACTCCTGTTGCTGCTGGTAGACAGGATGGCTCTGCAGCAACTGCTGCTGCAGATGCTGTTGCTTCTGGCTCTGCACTGTTCGCTCCTGCTCTACCACCCTGTTCTTCCCAATGCCTACTCCCTCTGCTCCTCCCAATGCAAGTACGGCTGCTCTCCTGCTGCTCCTGCTTCTCCTGCTGCTACTGCTGCTACTACAACTACAGCTGCCCCTGCTGCTACTTCGTCTCCTGCTGCTACTGCTGCCCCTGCTGCGATCGCTGCTACTGCTGCTACTCCTGCTGCTCCTGAAGCTACTGCTGCTCCTGCCGCTACTGTTGCTACCACAGCCACTCTTGCCCCTCCTGCTATTGCTGCAACTGCTTCTCCTGTTGCCACTGCTTCTCCTGCTGCTATTGCTGCTCCTGCTTCTCCTTCTGCTCCAGCCTCTCCTCCTCCTGCCTCCCCTCCTCCTCCTGCTGCTCCTGCATCTGTCGCTGCTACAGTTACTGCTGCTCCTGCTGCACCTGCTGCTACTTCTCCTCCTGCTGCTGATGCTTCTCCAGCTGCACCAGCTGCACCGGCTGCACCGCCTGCGACTGCAGCGGCGGGGCCAGGCGGGGTGGAGTTTGCAGAGGCGAGTTACAGCATCCGCCACGCGCCGCTGGGCTGCGACCGCCGCGCCCACTCCTACTGGTGCTTCCACCGCCTCCCCCCCTCCGCCTCCGCCTCCGCCGCTGCTGCTGCTGCGCTACCTGGGCGTGAGGTGTGCCGCTGGCCAGGAGATGGGGGAAGGAAAGAATTGGACCATGGGAGGCGGGGAGAAGAAAGTGGTGGTAGTGATGATGGTGGCGGAGGTGGCAGGGGAGGGCAGCAGGTGATGGTGGGGGTGTACGTGCTGTCAGCGGAGGGGCAGTGGAGCGCCATTCGAGATGCCCAGGTGCGCGCAGCAGTGAGGAGCATGCAAGGTGAAATGGTTATGTGGCATTCGAAAGGTCAGCTCAGGGGTGCCACGCCCTCTTCCTTCCCAGCTCTCGGACCCTCTCAGTCTATGCTCAATCCACCTCTGTTCCTTCCCCTCCTCTCCCTCCCCCCCTCCCTCTATCACTGCGTGCAGTCACTGGCGCATCTCAAGGCGGTGCTGTACCCGCGCGGGGTGAGGGAGTCCGCTCTGCTCTCCAACCTGCGCCACCACCTCTCCTCCCTCTCTCCACCGATCTGCACCACTGCTGTTCCCGTCACCGCTGCACCTGCTGCCACCGCCATGGCACCGCCCACGCCCTCCGCTGGTGGCCTTGAGTGGCGTGCTCCACCCATCATGTCGTCCGTGCCGCCAACCTCACCTCTCATGCCTCCTGACGCTCCTGCTGCTCCTGCCGCTCTCCACAAAGCATCAGCCAACCCCTCTGAAACCCCTGCCATGCCTCTTGATCCCGCTGTGGGTGACGGCAAGGTAGAGGGTGCCGTGATGCTGGCGGCAGCAGCGGGCAGTGAAGCAGATGCCATGCACCCTGTGGCCCCACCTCCCCACGCCCATGCTGCCGCCACCATCCAACCCGCCCGGGCGAATGAAGGTGATGCCAGGCCAGCATGCCCACCCATCCATGCATGCGAGCCCATGACGGGTGGTGCGCTCGCCCCAGCTGGTGACACAGAGCACCACCTCAGAGCCATCGCTCCTTCTGCTCCCCTGCCCTCACCCTCTCGTGCTTTGTCCCCGAGGAAGCTTCCTGGATGCTTCGATCCATAGGGGATGCCGAGGCCGGGTTGTGGGGTGGGCGGCGCGGGATCGAGACAATGGTGTGCGGTGGAGAGGGGTGCAGTGCGGTGGGTACAGAACAGGATGGGGTGGGGGGCAGGGAGCAGGAGCAGAAGGGGGGAGGGGAGGAGAAGGTGGAGTATAGGCAGTGCAGGTGGTGTGGTGAGGTGGTGAGGAGCAGCCCGCAGGGAGGGGAGGGGGAGGCGGCAGTGGGTCGTGATGTTGCTGCTGGTGCTGACGTGGCAGCAACCGAGTGTGCTACTCTGGCTACTGGAAGCAGGGATGCATCAGTAGCGGCACCAGGTGCTGCTGTGGCCTTAGCGGGTGCACATGTGCTGGCAGCAGCTGCGGAGTCCAGCCGGACAGCAGAGCAGGGCACAGCAGGGGCGGCGAGTGAGGCAGCAGGAGCGGAGGAGGCGGGCAGGGAGCAGGGCTGTGGGGCGGCCATTCCTCCCCGGGTGCGGCGCCTCCAACACTCGCTGCTGGCTGCCCAGGTGTGCTGTGTGGCATGTGGGGCATGTGGGGCATGTGGGGCATGTGGGGCATGTGGGGCATGTGGTGTTGTAAATGTATCTTATATATACAACATACATAGGCTAGAATAGGTGTAGCTCTTTAAGCCATTGGGGGGTTGGGTGTACACTCCAACCACACTTTGTGGTTGGGTCAAGATTTGGTTTGGTCTTGGTCCTTGGTTGGCACTTGCCAACATTTGGTCCTAAGGCCAACCAATCACAAGCTAGCAACATTGTGGGGTTCCCTACTCCACAAGGCAACTCACCCATTGGCCAACTTAGTGGCCAATAGGGTTGCACCTTCTTCCAACCTCTCTTCCTTGCATGCTTGTACTATAGAGCCTCCTTGGCTCATTACTCAACCATTCTTGAATTCTATCATGTGGGGCATGTGGGGCATGTGGGGCATGTGGGGCATGTGGGGCATGTGGGGCATGTGGGGCATGTGGGGCATGTGGGGCATGTGGGGCATGTGGGGCATGTGGGGCATGTGGGGCATGTGGGGCATGTGGGGCATGTGGGGCATGTGGGGCATGTGGGGATTCTGTCATTCCTATACCATGCTAATACCCTTGCTGTGATGATGATTTTGCCATGCGTATACACATTCCTTTGTATTGCCCATGCGATGCCGTGCCCATTCCCGTACGGTCCATACCCATGCACATGCACATATCAAACCCATGCCATGTGCACGGCAGGTGGCATTGGAAGCGGAGGGCAAGCTGGCATGGCAGTGGACGGAGGAGAGCAGGCGCAGGTGGCGTGCAGCGGTGCACATGGCGTGGCATGCTGCTCACCTGCTGCAGGTATGCCTCGTGTGCATGGCGGCATGGCATCGTCGCAGATAAAGCTTACGGGTCAACGTATGGCAGCAGGTGTGGGGTTCACTTTCGTTTCTCTTCACTTTCCCCCTCTCACCTTTCCTCCTCCCCATCCCAGCACCCCAGCTCTACCTACCGACCCCTCTGCCTCTGCCTGCACCTGCTCTCACACGTCACCACGTGCCTCTTGCCCCTGCTCCGTTTTCCCCCTCCTCATAGCGCCTCCCACCCTCGACTGCCCCTTAAATTGAACAACCTTCGTTTCAACCACCCCTTTCCCCAGACATCCCTCACTCAAACCAGACCAGACTCGCCACCCCCAAAGAACATCCCACTCTCCAAACACCCTGTTCCTCACCATCTTGCTGTCCCTCTCCTCCTCCCCCCCCTTCCCCCCTCCCCCCTCTCTCTGCAGCTGCTGTGCCAGCTGGAGGCCGCCATTCCCCCCACCTTCATCCACGGCTCCTTCAGCCCCGCGCCAGATGTCGCCCTGCGATTGGCTCTCAGAGTGCAAGGAAGGCGAGGTAACCCCGTGGCTCAAGCTTCGGGGAGCGGAGTGGAGGGGGGTAAACACGGGGACGAGAGGGGGAGTGGAGGAGAGGGCGGGACGGAGGAGGGAGTGCAGACTCAGGAGGGTGAAAGCAGGATGGGCTGTGGTGAGGAGGCCAGGCAAGCGGGTGGTGTTGCTGGCGAGGCGGGGGAGAGGAGGGGCGAACATGAGGGAAGGTGCACGGCAGAGCAGGCAGTTGCGGTGGCTGTTCCAGGTGCAGGTGGTGGAAGGGAGGAAGGCGAATCCACAGGAGAGGGCCAGAAGGACTTGTGTAAGGAGGGGAAGCAAGAGGGGAATGGCAGCGAGGGGGGTGGGAGGGATGGCGAGGAGGCTCTAGCAGGGGGGTCGACACGGGCCCTTCCTTCCCTTGCTATGCCGCTGCCATGTGTGCCCCTCACGTGCGCTGCTGTCGCTCTGCGATTGGCCGCCCTGGAGGCCGCTGTCCTGGGGGATGGGCGCGGGGATGGGGGCATGGGCACGGATGGGGGGAGTGGGGGCGCGGGTGAGAGTGGAAGCGAGGCAGGGCGTGATGGTGAGGTGGGATGGTGGGTGCCGGATGAAGCAAGGCGGCTGGAGGGGTGTGGTGGCAGCAGGTGGAGGCGGCGAGGAGAGAGGAGGCGGTGGAGGGCATGGTTGACTGGGAGGACTGGGAGGCGAGGGAGGTGGTGCGACGCACGCAGGAGAGGGAGCGGGCTAAGGGGAAGGAGGAGAGGGAGAAGCGGGAGGGGAAGGTGAAGGAGAAAGGGAGAGGGAGAATGCGAGAGGAGGGGAGAATGAAGGGCGGGAGGGGTAAGAAGGGGGGTTGGGGGAGAGGGGTGGGTGAAGGAGGGAGCGGGAGGGGGTTGAGTAGGATGGGGCGCAATGAGCATGAGCATGAGCGCTCACTGCGGGCGCATCAGACAGGTGCGGTGCAGGTGCGTGGTGGGAAACGAAAGCGAAAGGAGGTGGTTGAGGAGGCAGAGGAGGAGGAGGAAGAGGAGGAGGAGGAGCAGAAGCAAGAGGAGGAGGATGAGGAGGAGGAGGAGGAGGATTTGCAGGTGAAGCTTCGAGTGCGGACCAAGGGGCTGCGACGACACGTGAAGAAGAGACGAATGGGTGCGGGCGAGGGGGGTGTGAAGGACGAGACTGGCACACACGGCACAGAGGAGGGGCAGGGGGAGAAGGAGGGGAAGGTGAAGAAGCGGGATGTGAAGAGGGAAATCAGAGATGCGGGAGTGAGGCATGGAGTGAAGGCGGAGGAGGGAGAGGAGGGGGCGAAGCAACTGATGGTATCATCGGGAGCGAGGGGGGCGCGCATGGGTGGCGGGGCGAGCAGGCGCGTGCAGCGGTCGCTGTCGGCGCGCTGCAGAGGTGCCGTGCGGCGCATGGGACGGGAGCAGGAAGAGATGGAGGAGGGGGAGGGGGTGAAGGAGGAGGAGGGGGAGGAGGAGGAGGAGGAGGAGGTGATGAGGGAGGAGGGGCAGCAGCAACGGGGGCAGCAGAAGGGCAGAGCATCAATGTCTCGACAGAAGCAGGTGAGGCGGGCAGAAGGGTGCATGGTGCAAGGCTGGCATATGGCGGGCGAGGGCGTTTTCCACACGTCTGCCTGCTTGACTCGAGTGTCTCCGCTTCTTGTGTTTCCTGTGGATTGCTCACATTCTAACTCAGTTTCAACTAGTAAGGGCACAACCTCATCGCACTGCACTGTACTGAACTGCATTGCACCGCATCCCACTGCATGACACTTGGTTGTGCAGGCGAGCAAGGGGGAAGGCAGTGCAGCGGCAGCCACTGCGCGACTCCCGGCATCCATCAACCCACGCGCACCTGCACCTTGCTTCACTGCTGCCAAGGCCCCTTCTTTCACGAAGAGGGCAGCCGCTGCTGGTGGCAGTGGGAGGCGCGGCTCAGCACCGGTTGTGCATTCTGGTGTTGACTCGGACTCAGTCTCTGAACTTGGTGCCCTCGGTGCTGCTGCTGCTGCTGCTGCTGGTGCTGACAAGGATCACAGTGATGATGCCAGTCATGAGAGTCACGACAGTGACGACAGGGACAAGGGCGATGAGAGCAGCAGCGGTGAGGAAGGCGGAGGTGACGGGCATAACAGCCCTGCACGCCCATCGTCACCAGCAACCGTGAGTGCACCCTCTCCCTCCCGCCCTCCACCGCGCAAGCGGCCGCGCTCCCTGCACCCTGCACATCCACATGCCCTGCCTGCCCGAGGCTCCGCAGCTGCTGCTGTGGTGAAGTCGGAGGCTCGGGCAGGGTTGCCGACAGGCTTGGAGGCAGGCTCGGGTGGAGGGGTAGGTGGTTCGGGAGGAAGGCAGCGCGCGGTTGGAGCACGTGGAGGTGGGAAGAGGGTGGGTGATGGTCGGAGCAGGAGGCAGGAGAAGCAGGAGACGGAAGAGGAGGAAGAGGAGGCAAAGGAGGAGGAGATGGAAGAGCGAGGTGGGGAGGAGGGGCTAGCAGGGAGAAGGACGACTCGCAGGCAGGAGAGGTGCGGCAATGGCACAGTGGACGCTGAGCCGCCACAGAGGGGGAAGAAGGGGAGAGAGGGCGGGGCTAAGGCAGGTGGGGAGAAACGGAGAGGGGGGGGTGGAGGGGCGGGCACTGGTGGGGCGGGGGAGGAGAGGATGAGAAGCAGGAGGAGCGGAGAGTTGAGACGGGACGGCCGAGGAGGGAGGCGAGTTTGCGGGCCAGGAAGGCTCAGGAAGAGATGCTGCTACGGGAGAGGGGCGGCGGGATGGAGGGCGTAAAGGAGGAGAGGCCAAGGAGAGGCGCAGTGAGAGGAGCGCGACGGAATGCCGCTATTACTGGAGTGGAGAGGAATGGGAAGGAGAAGGGTGAGAGGAGCGTGGGGGGACGGGGTGGTGGGAGAGGCAGAGGCGAGGCAAGCTCAGCAGAAACGGCAGCAGGTGACGAGGAGGGTAGCAAGCGAGCATCACGAGAGGGACAAGACGAGCAACAGCAGGTGGTGCGAGTGGAGAGCGCAGCAGGCGGGGTGTGAGGGATGTGAGGGGTGTGAGGCGAGAAGCAGGGCACTCCCCTCAAGCACCCGCATCTCAACCACCAATGCACTCCCCTCAACCTTCCCACTCCCCTCAACCTGAGTCCCTGCAAGCCATTCTTTCAGGCTCGAGCAGTGATGGCACGGGGCAGGGTGAGCGGGAGGACGAGAGGGGGGGTGGGGAGGGGACGGCAGGGCGGCAGCATGAGCATGAGCAGGAGCAGGAGCAGGAGCAGGGAGCAGCGAGGCCAGCGCAGTCAGGCAGTGAGGACTCGTCGTACTACCTGGGGTCGCCCCTGCGCTTTGACCACCCACAGTGGCCGCCGTACCTCGACCCTTCCTCTGCTGACTCCTCTGCTCGCTTGCCCCCCTCCCACTGACTCACTCACTCACTGACAGGGTTGTGCTTTGGCTGGGAGTTGGCTGCGGTAGCTCCGAGACAGGGTGATCAGTTGTCCAGTTTTGACTAACACAAGGCAAGCAGCAGTGGTGCCATGGAGGAGAGATGTGGTAGGCTGGGCACGGCATGTGGTGAGTGCCAAGGAGCCATGTGTCACTCTCTTGCAGTTGGTGTGGTAGGCAGAGCAGGTGATGATTGGTAGCTTAGAAGCTGCTGTTTTAGGTGCGTGTTTGAGGTAGATGTAGGCATACATGTGATATTTCAACGAGGAAACATGTGCAATGCAACTACACGGAACTAAAGAACGTCCTCAGTGCGGGCAGACTCAGATGGGATCAGAACACCTTCTCCAGCACCTTGCCCAGCCTTCTCTGCGTGACTCTCAGCCAATCAGACACATCCTCGGCCCTCAAGATGGTCCAATCACAGAGCTCCTCCCACCGCGCCACGGCCCACCGCTCTGCCTTGGACTGCACGTCCTCTGCCATGCGCCCACTGTTCACATACACCACCACTGCCGCCCGCTTCTCCTGCACTACAGACAACGCACTCCGCCTCTTCTCCTCCACCTCCTCCTGCACCTTCCTGAGAAGCTTCCTTGCGTCTTCTGGGACGTTTCCGGAGCGAAGGTACCCTGCGAGGTCGGTGGCGCGAGCAATAAGGAGCTGGCGCTGCGGTGCTGTGCGGTTGAGAAGGGTGAGGGAGAGTTGGAGGAGGGAGTGGGAGAGGCGGAGCGAGGCGGAGAGGAGGAGAGGGCCGAGCAGCCAGAGGGGCGCGAGGTCGGCTGCTGTTGCCGCGCCGAACACCATGTTCACCACTGCGAACAGCGGCAGGCTGCATGGGGGGAGGGAGGGTGGGGCAAGGGGGAGAGCGATCAGGGAAGGGACTCGGGAAGAAAATTGGCAAGGGAGAAAGGAGGGGAGGAGTAGGGAGGGGGGCTGGGCTGGAGGGACTAGGCGGCGGACAGGAGAAGTGGGGTGCTGCAGCTGCTGGCATAACGCGGAGAGTGACACGAGGCAGGGTGCTGGCAGGGGAGGGGAGGCGAGGGGAGCGAATGGAGGGGATGGGAGGAAATGGGAGGGGAGGAAATGGGAGGGGAGGGGAGGGGAGGGGAGGGGAGGGGAGGGGAGGGGAGGGGAGGGGAGGGGAGGCATTTGAAATGGGCAGGGGGGTAAACGTGGTGGGACGGGGTGTGGAGCACGTGCGCGCTGCCTCGCCATACCGCCTCCCTCCATTGCACTGCACCCACGCAGCTGCTTCACTCACACCACCGCCATGCACCATATCCTCAAATCCGCCCTAGTTCCCCTATCCCCTCTATTCCCCACTGTCCCCCAAATTCCCCTTCCCCACTACATCCATATCACCCCTCTATACTATGACCACGGGCAAATTCACCCGAGCCGCTGTGATATTCACAGAACCGCCATGCAATGTATTCACCCCCTCCCACGCCGGCCGCTCTTCCTCCCCCCTCATCCTCCCCATCCCTCTCTCCCCCCCCACGCACAAGATCGCAACGGGCCATTTCACCCACGTCGCCGCTGTCCCCCACCACGCTAGAACCGCCGCCTCCGCCGCGCGCACCACGCCAGCTGCCACGTGGCCGGCGTCCATTGACCGGAGAGCGCTAGGGCTCGGTACATCACGCGACGGCTCGGAATTTCCCGAAAAACTGTTCGCAGGCGCTGCGGAAAGCACCAGCGAGCGGCAACCTCGTCGCTTATTGGCAGCGGTAACGCGAGGGACTAGAAACGGAAAGAACGGCTTCTCCCCGTCGCTACTGCACGAAGCACTCCGGCATGCATTCCCGATCGCAGGTGCGGGCGAGGTCAGTCTAGGGTTTCCGTGAAAGGCCTGACACGCGGGTTGCGCGGACAAGGAACAGGTGGGGCCTCGCAGGGAACGCACTCCTGACGGCGGGCTGCCCGATTGGCGGAGAGCGCTAAACCCGGCGGGAGCGGAGACCGAAAATGTTGCGGCGGTTTGGCGCGCTATTAGAGGAGAGAAGGCGTACTGGGAGAGAGCCATGGCGCGTGGCATGCGCTTCGCACTCCGAGAGTCGTGAGCACGAATGAAAGGTTGGAAGGGGTTTGAAACAAAACCGCTGGGCACACGGCATTCAGGGCGTGTACGAAATGCACAAAGTCAGGAGTAGTGAGATTGATCGACCAGCAACAACCAAACTATTCGAACATGATTGAATTCGAGTGGGTTCTAAGAAGAAGACTTGAATCAGTCGAACATTTTGAGGTCGAACACTCTTGTTTGACCCCAACATGTTTTGCAAAAAAGATAAACCCTGTTTCGTTCGACTCGAACAGGCCCGAGCCCATACTGAGGCAGGGGGGTTCGGGGAATTGCTCACATGTGATTGCCGCCCCGTAACTCAAGTCGTACTACGCAGAACCCTAATCCAATTAAATTGGTGAGCAATCAAATCAACTCAACCAGAGCAGCCGAATAGCCTCACACATTTTTGCGATGCTGGTGCCTCCGCATTCTCCGGCGGTCCTGCGAACCGCATCGCAGGTACCGTCGTGCGTCCTCCGCGACGACGGTAACCATGGCATTAGTATCGTTCACCGTCGCACCGCCTTCGTTCCCTGCCCCGACAGCTCTCCTCATGTCACCCGTGGCCTCCACACGTGCAGACCGCCGCCCCTGGTGCCGCTTGTTTCCGACGCACCCCCACGCCCGCTCGTAGATCGACCCTCGACTCGGTACCGGCGCTTAGCGAAACGCGCAGTTAAAGAGCGAGGGACGCGCTCTGCACACGATGGGAGAGGGACGAGCGGGTTAAGGGACGAGAGGGATAAGGGTGAGGGGAATGACGCGGAGCGAGAGGGCAAGCCGATGGAGGAGGAAGGGAAAGAACAGTGGCAGGAAATGCGAGAGGAAGGGAAGGGGGAGAAGGGAGAGGGGGAGGGGATCGCAAGGGAGGAGCAAGAGGGCGGGGAAAGGGCGGGTGCAAGGCGGCAGTACCATCTGCTGTGTGTGAGCAACGGGCATGGCGAGGACACGATCGCCGTCAGCATTCTGAGAGAGATGCAGGTGCGGGGAACCAAAGCAGAGAGCATGGGAACAATAGGCATGGAGGAATGCGACATGCGTTGGCGGCGTTGAGATGAAACGCATGCTGTGGGCGTTGGCATGCGTGCCATACAGTGGGCTTTCTGTGCATCCCTTATCATGGCCCATGAGTCACCATGCGCACCCCTTCACCCGTGCTGCCTGTCAACCCCTTTCCATCCGCGTGCACCCCTGCAGGCAGTGGCAGAACAGCGGGGCATCACGGTGCACGTGTCAGCGCTGCCACTGGTGGGCATGGGGGCGGCATATCACCGCCACGCCATCCCCACCATCGGCCCTGCCAAGACCATGCCCAGTGGCGGGTGAGGCAAGACCATGCCCAGTGGCGGGTGAGGCAAGACCATGCCCAGTGGCGGGTGAGGCAAGACCATGCCCAGTGGCGGGTGAGGCAAGACCATGCCCAGTGGCGGGTGAGGCAAGACCATGCCCAGTGGCGGGTGAGGCAAGACCATGCCCAGTGGCGGGTGAGGCAAGACCATGCCCAGTGGCGGGTGAGGCAAGACCATGCCCAGTGGCGGGTGAGGCAAGACCATGCCCAGTGGCGGGTGAGGCAAGACCATGCCCAGTGGCGGGTGAGGCAAGACCATGCCCAGTGGCGGGTGAGGCAAGACCATGCCCAGTGGCGGGTGATTCAAGACCATGCCCAGTGGCGGGTGAGGCAAGACCATGCCCAGTGGCGGGTGAGGCAAGACCATGCCCAGTGGCGGGTGAGTCACTGCTGCCGGTGCCTGTCCACCGGTGGTGTGGCGCACCTTGTGCGTCGTCATGCAGCCCTTCACGTGACTAGCATGCCATCCGCGCCCCATACCACGACCATACCGCACTCAAGCAACGCTGTCATGGTTGAAGGGTGCAGTGGAATAGAAAAGAATGCTGTGCGTGCCTTGTTGATCCTCTTCCCCTGCCTAATTCAAGGACTCAATCGCATACTGCTGCCTCTCTTTCTTCACTCATGCCTTATCCAATGCCTTTTATTTACTGGTGGCTTCGAAACCAACAAGAAGCTTTCTTAAGTAATGCAGCCACACTTCATACTGTGCTGCGCTGCGATGGTGCGTGCGCCGTGGCGTGTGTGTGCTGTGCAGGTTCATCTACATGGACGGAAAGCAGCTCGCCAATGACGTGGCGGCGGGCCTGCTGGACCTCACGCTGCAGCAGGTACGTGCGGCCCCAGCAGCGGCCGCATGGCTTCGATGCCATAACATGTGCCTCTCCCTTTCTTCTATTCTCCCTTCCTACCATGTGCCTCTCCCTTTCTTCTATTCTCCCTTCCTACCATGTGCCTCTCCCTTTCTTCTATTCTCCCTTCCTACCATGTGCCTCTCCCTTTCTTCTATTCTCCCTTCCTACCATGTGCCTCTCCCTTTCTTCTATTCTCCCTTCCTACCATGTGCCTCTCCCTTTCTTCTATTCTCCCTTCCTACCATGTGCCTCTCCCTTTCTTCTATTCTCCCTTCCTACCATGTGCCTCTCCCTTTCTTCTATTCTCCCTTCCTACCATGTGCCTCTCCCTTTCTTCTATTCTCCCTTCCTACCATGTGCCTCTCCCTTTCTTCTATTCTCCCTTCCTACCATGTGCCTCTCCCTTTCTTCTATTCTCCCTTCCTACCATGTGCCTCTCCCTTTCTTCTATTCTCCCTTCCTACCATGTGCCTCTCCCTTTCTTCTATTCTCCCTTCCTACCATGTGCCTCTCCCTTTCTTCTATTCTCCCTTCCTACCATGTGCCTCTCCCTTTCTTCTATTCTCCCTTCCTACCATGTGCCTCTCCCTTTCTTCTATTCTCCCTTCCTACCATGTGCCTCTCCCTTTCTTCTATTCTCCCTTCCTACCATGTGCCTCTCCCTTTCTTCTATTCTCCCTTCCTACCATGTGCCTCTCCCTTTCTTCTATTCTCCCTTCCTACCATGTGCCTCTCCCTTTCTTCTATTCTCCCTTCCTACCATGTGCCTCTCCCTTTCTTCTATTCTCCCTTCCTACCATGTGCCTCTCCCTTTCTTCTATTCTCCCTTCCTACCATGTGCCTCTCCCTTTCTTCTATTCTCCCTTCCTACCATGTGCCTCTCCCTTTCTTCTATTCTCCCTTCCTACCATGTGCCTCTCCCTTTCTTCTATTCTCCCTTCCTACCATGTGCCTCTCCCTTTCTTCTATTCTCCCTTCCTACCATGTGCCTCTCCCTTTCTTCTATTCTCCCTTCCTACCATGTGCCTCTCCCTTTCTTCTATTCTCCCTTCCTACCATGTGCCTCTCCCTTTCTTCTATTCTCCCTTCCTACCATGTGCCTCTCCCTTTCTTCTATTCTCCCTTCCTACCATGTGCCTCTCCCTTTCTTCTATTCTCCCTTCCTACCATGTGCCTCTCCCTTTCTTCTATTCTCCCTTCCTACCATGTGCCTCTCCCTTTCTTCTATTCTCCCTTCCTACCATGTGCCTCTCCCTTTCTTCTATTCTCCCTTCCTACCATGTGCCTCTCCCTTTCTTCTATTCTCCCTTCCTACCATGTGCCTCTCCCTTTCTTCTATTCTCCCTTCCTACCATGTGCCTCTCCCTTTCTTCTATTCTCCCTTCCTACCATGTGCCTCTCCCTTTCTTCTATTCTCCCTTCCTACCATGTGCCTCTCCCTTTCTTCTATTCTCCCTTCCTACCATGTGCCTCTCCCTTTCTTCTATTCTCCCTTCCTACCATGTGCCTCTCCCTTTCTTCTATTCTCCCTTCCTACCATGTGCCTCTCCCTTTCTTCTATTCTCCCTTCCTACCATGTGCCTCTCCCTTTCTTCTATTCTCCCTTCCTACCATGTGCCTCTCCCTTTCTTCTATTCTCCCTTCCTACCATGTGCCTCTCCCTTTCTTCTATTCTCCCTTCCTACCATGTGCCTCTCCCTTTCTTCTATTCTCCCTTCCTACCATGTGCCTCTCCCTTTCTTCTATTCTCCCTTCCTACCATGTGCCTCTCCCTTTCTTCTATTCTCCCTTCCTACCATGTGCCTCTCCCTTTCTTCTATTCTCCCTTCCTACCATGTGCCTCTCCCTTTCTTCTATTCTCCCTTCCTACCATGTGCCTCTCCCTTTCTTCTATTCTCCCTTCCTACCATGTGCCTCTCCCTTTCTTCTATTCTCCCTTCCTACCATGTGCCTCTCCCTTTCTTCTATTCTCCCTTCCTACCATGTGCCTCTCCCTTTCTTCTATTCTCCCTTCCTACCATGTGCCTCTCCCTTTCTTCTATTCTCCCTTCCTACCATGTGCCTCTCCCTTTCTTCTATTCTCCCTTCCTACCATGTGCCTCTCCCTTTCTTCTATTCTCCCTTCCTACCATGTGCCTCTCCCTTTCTTCTATTCTCCCTTCCTACCATGTGCCTCTCCCTTTCTTCTATTCTCCCTTCCTACCATGTGCCTCTCCCTTTCTTCTATTCTCCCTTCCTACCATGTGCCTCTCCCTTTCTTCTATTCTCCCTTCCTACCATGTGCCTCTCCCTTTCTTCTATTCTCCCTTCCTACCATGTGCCTCTCCCTTTCTTCTATTCTCCCTTCCTACCATGTGCCTCTCCCTTTCTTCTATTCTCCCTTCCTACCATGTGCCTCTCCCTTTCTTCTATTCTCCCTTCCTACCATGTGCCTCTCCCTTTCTTCTATTCTCCCTTCCTACCATGTGCCTCTCCCTTTCTTCTATTCTCCCTTCCTACCATGTGCCTCTCCCTTTCTTCTATTCTCCCTTCCTACCATGTGCCTCTCCCTTTCTTCTATTCTCCCTTCCTACCATGTGCCTCTCCCTTTCTTCTATTCTCCCTTCCTACCATGTGCCTCTCCCTTTCTTCTATTCTCCCTTCCTACCATGTGCCTCTCCCTTTCTTCTATTCTCCCTTCCTACCATGTGCCTCTCCCTTTCTTCTATTCTCCCTTCCTACCATGTGCCTCTCCCTTTCTTCTATTCTCCCTTCCTACCATGTGCCTCTCCCTTTCTTCTATTCTCCCTTCCTACCATGTGCCTCTCCCTTTCTTCTATTCTCCCTTCCTACCATGTGCCTCTCCCTTTCTTCTATTCTCCCTTCCTACCATGTGCCTCTCCCTTTCTTCTATTCTCCCTTCCTACCATGTGCCTCTCCCTTTCTTCTATTCTCCCTTCCTACCATGTGCCTCTCCCTTTCTTCTATTCTCCCTTCCTACCATGTGCCTCTCCCTTTCTTCTATTCTCCCTTCCTACCATGTGCCTCTCCCTTTCTTCTATTCTCCCTTCCTACCATGTGCCTCTCCCTTTCTTCTATTCTCCCTTCCTACCATGTGCCTCTCCCTTTCTTCTATTCTCCCTTCCTACCATGTGCCTCTCCCTTTCTTCTATTCTCCCTTCCTACCATGTGCCTCTCCCTTTCTTCTATTCTCCCTTCCTACCATGTGCCTCTCCCTTTCTTCTATTCTCCCTTCCTACCATGTGCCTCTCCCTTTCTTCTATTCTCCCTTCCTACCATGTGCCTCTCCCTTTCTTCTATTCTCCCTTCCTACCATGTGCCTCTCCCTTTCTTCTATTCTCCCTTCCTACCATGTGCCTCTCCCTTTCTTCTATTCTCCCTTCCTACCATGTGCCTCTCCCTTTCTTCTATTCTCCCTTCCTACCATGTGCCTCTCCCTTTCTTCTATTCTCCCTTCCTACCATGTGCCTCTCCCTTTCTTCTATTCTCCCTTCCTACCATGTGCCTCTCCCTTTCTTCTATTCTCCCTTCCTACCATGTGCCTCTCCCTTTCTTCTATTCTCCCTTCCTACCATGTGCCTCTCCCTTTCTTCTATTCTCCCTTCCTACCATGTGCCTCTCCCTTTCTTCTATTCTCCCTTCCTACCATGTGCCTCTCCCTTTCTTCTATTCTCCCTTCCTACCATGTGCCTCTCCCTTTCTTCTATTCTCCCTTCCTACCATGTGCCTCTCCCTTTCTTCTATTCTCCCTTCCTACCATGTGCCTCTCCCTTTCTTCTATTCTCCCTTCCTACCATGTGCCTCTCCCTTTCTTCTATTCTCCCTTCCTACCATGTGCCTCTCCCTTTCTTCTATTCTCCCTTCCTACCATGTGCCTCTCCCTTTCTTCTATTCTCCCTTCCTACCATGTGCCTCTCCCTTTCTTCTATTCTCCCTTCCTACCATGTGCCTCTCCCTTTCTTCTATTCTCCCTTCCTACCATGTGCCTCTCCCTTTCTTCTATTCTCCCTTCCTACCATGTGCCTCTCCCTTTCTTCTATTCTCCCTTCCTACCATGTGCCTCTCCCTTTCTTCTATTCTCCCTTCCTACCATGTGCCTCTCCCTTTCTTCTATTCTCCCTTCCTACCATGTGCCTCTCCCTTTCTTCTATTCTCCCTTCCTACCATGTGCCTCTCCCTTTCTTCTATTCTCCCTTCCTACCATGTGCCTCTCCCTTTCTTCTATTCTCCCTTCCTACCATGTGCCTCTCCCTTTCTTCTATTCTCCCTTCCTACCATGTGCCTCTCCCTTTCTTCTATTCTCCCTTCCTACCATGTGCCTCTCCCTTTCTTCTATTCTCCCTTCCTACCATGTGCCTCTCCCTTTCTTCTATTCTCCCTTCCTACCATGTGCCTCTCCCTTTCTTCTATTCTCCCTTCCTACCATGTGCCTCTCCCTTTCTTCTATTCTCCCTTCCTACCATGTGCCTCTCCCTTTCTTCTATTCTCCCTTCCTACCATGTGCCTCTCCCTTTCTTCTATTCTCCCTTCCTACCATGTGCCTCTCCCTTTCTTCTATTCTCCCTTCCTACCATGTGCCTCTCCCTTTCTTCTATTCTCCCTTCCTACCATGTGCCTCTCCCTTTCTTCTATTCTCCCTTCCTACCATGTGCCTCTCCCTTTCTTCTATTCTCCCTTCCTACCATGTGCCTCTCCCTTTCTTCTATTCTCCCTTCCTACCATGTGCCTCTCCCTTTCTTCTATTCTCCCTTCCTACCATGTGCCTCTCCCTTTCTTCTATTCTCCCTTCCTACCATGTGCCTCTCCCTTTCTTCTATTCTCCCTTCCTACCATGTGCCTCTCCCTTTCTTCTATTCTCCCTTCCTACCATGTGCCTCTCCCTTTCTTCTATTCTCCCTTCCTACCATGTGCCTCTCCCTTTCTTCTATTCTCCCTTCCTACCATGTGCCTCTCCCTTTCTTCTATTCTCCCTTCCTACCATGTGCCTCTCCCTTTCTTCTATTCTCCCTTCCTACCATGTGCCTCTCCCTTTCTTCTATTCTCCCTTCCTACCATGTGCCTCTCCCTTTCTTCTATTCTCCCTTCCTACCATGTGCCTCTCCCTTTCTTCTATTCTCCCTTCCTACCATGTGCCTCTCCCTTTCTTCTATTCTCCCTTCCTACCATGTGCCTCTCCCTTTCTTCTATTCTCCCTTCCTACCATGTGCCTCTCCCTTTCTTCTATTCTCCCTTCCTACCATGTGCCTCTCCCTTTCTTCTATTCTCCCTTCCTACCATGTGCCTCTCCCTTTCTTCTATTCTCCCTTCCTACCATGTGCCTCTCCCTTTCTTCTATTCTCCCTTCCTACCATGTGCCTCTCCCTTTCTTCTATTCTCCCTTCCTACCATGTGCCTCTCCCTTTCTTCTATTCTCCCTTCCTACCATGTGCCTCTCCCTTTCTTCTATTCTCCCTTCCTACCATGTGCCTCTCCCTTTCTTCTATTCTCCCTTCCTACCATGTGCCTCTCCCTTTCTTCTATTCTCCCTTCCTACCATGTGCCTCTCCCTTTCTTCTATTCTCCCTTCCTACCATGTGCCTCTCCCTTTCTTCTATTCTCCCTTCCTACCATGTGCCTCTCCCTTTCTTCTATTCTCCCTTCCTACCATGTGCCTCTCCCTTTCTTCTATTCTCCCTTCCTACCATGTGCCTCTCCCTTTCTTCTATTCTCCCTTCCTACCATGTGCCTCTCCCTTTCTTCTATTCTCCCTTCCTACCATGTGCCTCTCCCTTTCTTCTATTCTCCCTTCCTACCATGTGCCTCTCCCTTTCTTCTATTCTCCCTTCCTACCATGTGCCTCTCCCTTTCTTCTATTCTCCCTTCCTACCATGTGCCTCTCCCTTTCTTCTATTCTCCCTTCCTACCATGTGCCTCTCCCTTTCTTCTATTCTCCCTTCCTACCATGTGCCTCTCCCTTTCTTCTATTCTCCCTTCCTACCATGTGCCTCTCCCTTTCTTCTATTCTCCCTTCCTACCATGTGCCTCTCCCTTTCTTCTATTCTCCCTTCCTACCATGTGCCTCTCCCTTTCTTCTATTCTCCCTTCCTACCATGTGCCTCTCCCTTTCTTCTATTCTCCCTTCCTACCATGTGCCTCTCCCTTTCTTCTATTCTCCCTTCCTACCATGTGCCTCTCCCTTTCTTCTATTCTCCCTTCCTACCATGTGCCTCTCCCTTTCTTCTATTCTCCCTTCCTACCATGTGCCTCTCCCTTTCTTCTATTCTCCCTTCCTACCATGTGCCTCTCCCTTTCTTCTATTCTCCCTTCCTACCATGTGCCTCTCCCTTTCTTCTATTCTCCCTTCCTACCATGTGCCTCTCCCTTTCTTCTATTCTCCCTTCCTACCATGTGCCTCTCCCTTTCTTCTATTCTCCCTTCCTACCATGTGCCTCTCCCTTTCTTCTATTCTCCCTTCCTACCATGTGCCTCTCCCTTTCTTCTATTCTCCCTTCCTACCATGTGCCTCTCCCTTTCTTCTATTCTCCCTTCCTACCATGTGCCTCTCCCTTTCTTCTATTCTCCCTTCCTACCATGTGCCTCTCCCTTTCTTCTATTCTCCCTTCCTACCATGTGCCTCTCCCTTTCTTCTATTCTCCCTTCCTACCATGTGCCTCTCCCTTTCTTCTATTCTCCCTTCCTACCATGTGCCTCTCCCTTTCTTCTATTCTCCCTTCCTACCATGTGCCTCTCCCTTTCTTCTATTCTCCCTTCCTACCATGTGCCTCTCCCTTTCTTCTATTCTCCCTTCCTACCATGTGCCTCTCCCTTTCTTCTATTCTCCCTTCCTACCATGTGCCTCTCCCTTTCTTCTATTCTCCCTTCCTACCATGTGCCTCTCCCTTTCTTCTATTCTCCCTTCCTACCATGTGCCTCTCCCTTTCTTCTATTCTCCCTTCCTACCATGTGCCTCTCCCTTTCTTCTATTCTCCCTTCCTACCATGTGCCTCTCCCTTTCTTCTATTCTCCCTTCCTACCATGTGCCTCTCCCTTTCTTCTATTCTCCCTTCCTACCATGTGCCTCTCCCTTTCTTCTATTCTCCCTTCCTACCATGTGCCTCTCCCTTTCTTCTATTCTCCCTTCCTACCATGTGCCTCTCCCTTTCTTCTATTCTCCCTTCCTACCATGTGCCTCTCCCTTTCTTCTATTCTCCCTTCCTACCATGTGCCTCTCCCTTTCTTCTATTCTCCCTTCCTACCATGTGCCTCTCCCTTTCTTCTATTCTCCCTTCCTACCATGTGCCTCTCCCTTTCTTCTATTCTCCCTTCCTACCATGTGCCTCTCCCTTTCTTCTATTCTCCCTTCCTACCATGTGCCTCTCCCTTTCTTCTATTCTCCCTTCCTACCATGTGCCTCTCCCTTTCTTCTATTCTCCCTTCCTACCATGTGCCTCTCCCTTTCTTCTATTCTCCCTTCCTACCATGTGCCTCTCCCTTTCTTCTATTCTCCCTTCCTACCATGTGCCTCTCCCTTTCTTCTATTCTCCCTTCCTACCATGTGCCTCTCCCTTTCTTCTATTCTCCCTTCCTACCATGTGCCTCTCCCTTTCTTCTATTCTCCCTTCCTACCATGTGCCTCTCCCTTTCTTCTATTCTCCCTTCCTACCATGTGCCTCTCCCTTTCTTCTATTCTCCCTTCCTACCATGTGCCTCTCCCTTTCTTCTATTCTCCCTTCCTACCATGTGCCTCTCCCTTTCTTCTATTCTCCCTTCCTACCATGTGCCTCTCCCTTTCTTCTATTCTCCCTTCCTACCATGTGCCTCTCCCTTTCTTCTATTCTCCCTTCCTACCATGTGCCTCTCCCTTTCTTCTATTCTCCCTTCCTACCATGTGCCTCTCCCTTTCTTCTATTCTCCCTTCCTACCATGTGCCTCTCCCTTTCTTCTATTCTCCCTTCCTACCATGTGCCTCTCCCTTTCTTCTATTCTCCCTTCCTACCATGTGCCTCTCCCTTTCTTCTATTCTCCCTTCCTACCATGTGCCTCTCCCTTTCTTCTATTCTCCCTTCCTACCATGTGCCTCTCCCTTTCTTCTATTCTCCCTTCCTACCATGTGCCTCTCCCTTTCTTCTATTCTCCCTTCCTACCATGTGCCTCTCCCTTTCTTCTATTCTCCCTTCCTACCATGTGCCTCTCCCTTTCTTCTATTCTCCCTTCCTACCATGTGCCTCTCCCTTTCTTCTATTCTCCCTTCCTACCATGTGCCTCTCCCTTTCTTCTATTCTCCCTTCCTACCATGTGCCTCTCCCTTTCTTCTATTCTCCCTTCCTACCATGTGCCTCTCCCTTTCTTCTATTCTCCCTTCCTACCATGTGCCTCTCCCTTTCTTCTATTCTCCCTTCCTACCATGTGCCTCTCCCTTTCTTCTATTCTCCCTTCCTACCATGTGCCTCTCCCTTTCTTCTATTCTCCCTTCCTACCATGTGCCTCTCCCTTTCTTCTATTCTCCCTTCCTACCATGTGCCTCTCCCTTTCTTCTATTCTCCCTTCCTACCATGTGCCTCTCCCTTTCTTCTATTCTCCCTTCCTACCATGTGCCTCTCCCTTTCTTCTATTCTCCCTTCCTACCATGTGCCTCTCCCTTTCTTCTATTCTCCCTTCCTACCATGTGCCTCTCCCTTTCTTCTATTCTCCCTTCCTACCATGTGCCTCTCCCTTTCTTCTATTCTCCCTTCCTACCATGTGCCTCTCCCTTTCTTCTATTCTCCCTTCCTACCATGTGCCTCTCCCTTTCTTCTATTCTCCCTTCCTACCATGTGCCTCTCCCTTTCTTCTATTCTCCCTTCCTACCATGTGCCTCTCCCTTTCTTCTATTCTCCCTTCCTACCATGTGCCTCTCCCTTTCTTCTATTCTCCCTTCCTACCATGTGCCTCTCCCTTTCTTCTATTCTCCCTTCCTACCATGTGCCTCTCCCTTTCTTCTATTCTCCCTTCCTACCATGTGCCTCTCCCTTTCTTCTATTCTCCCTTCCTACCATGTGCCTCTCCCTTTCTTCTATTCTCCCTTCCTACCATGTGCCTCTCCCTTTCTTCTATTCTCCCTTCCTACCATGTGCCTCTCCCTTTCTTCTATTCTCCCTTCCTACCATGTGCCTCTCCCTTTCTTCTATTCTCCCTTCCTACCATGTGCCTCTCCCTTTCTTCTATTCTCCCTTCCTACCATGTGCCTCTCCCTTTCTTCTATTCTCCCTTCCTACCATGTGCCTCTCCCTTTCTTCTATTCTCCCTTCCTACCATGTGCCTCTCCCTTTCTTCTATTCTCCCTTCCTACCATGTGCCTCTCCCTTTCTTCTATTCTCCCTTCCTACCATGTGCCTCTCCCTTTCTTCTATTCTCCCTTCCTACCATGTGCCTCTCCCTTTCTTCTATTCTCCCTTCCTACCATGTGCCTCTCCCTTTCTTCTATTCTCCCTTCCTACCATGTGCCTCTCCCTTTCTTCTATTCTCCCTTCCTACCATGTGCCTCTCCCTTTCTTCTATTCTCCCTTCCTACCATGTGCCTCTCCCTTTCTTCTATTCTCCCTTCCTACCATGTGCCTCTCCCTTTCTTCTATTCTCCCTTCCTACCATGTGCCTCTCCCTTTCTTCTATTCTCCCTTCCTACCATGTGCCTCTCCCTTTCTTCTATTCTCCCTTCCTACCATGTGCCTCTCCCTTTCTTCTATTCTCCCTTCCTACCATGTGCCTCTCCCTTTCTTCTATTCTCCCTTCCTACCATGTGCCTCTCCCTTTCTTCTATTCTCCCTTCCTACCATGTGCCTCTCCCTTTCTTCTATTCTCCCTTCCTACCATGTGCCTCTCCCTTTCTTCTATTCTCCCTTCCTACCATGTGCCTCTCCCTTTCTTCTATTCTCCCTTCCTACCATGTGCCTCTCCCTTTCTTCTATTCTCCCTTCCTACCATGTGCCTCTCCCTTTCTTCTATTCTCCCTTCCTACCATGTGCCTCTCCCTTTCTTCTATTCTCCCTTCCTACCATGTGCCTCTCCCTTTCTTCTATTCTCCCTTCCTACCATGTGCCTCTCCCTTTCTTCTATTCTCCCTTCCTACCATGTGCCTCTCCCTTTCTTCTATTCTCCCTTCCTACCATGTGCCTCTCCCTTTCTTCTATTCTCCCTTCCTACCATGTGCCTCTCCCTTTCTTCTATTCTCCCTTCCTACCATGTGCCTCTCCCTTTCTTCTATTCTCCCTTCCTACCATGTGCCTCTCCCTTTCTTCTATTCTCCCTTCCTACCATGTGCCTCTCCCTTTCTTCTATTCTCCCTTCCTACCATGTGCCTCTCCCTTTCTTCTATTCTCCCTTCCTACCATGTGCCTCTCCCTTTCTTCTATTCTCCCTTCCTACCATGTGCCTCTCCCTTTCTTCTATTCTCCCTTCCTACCATGTGCCTCTCCCTTTCTTCTATTCTCCCTTCCTACCATGTGCCTCTCCCTTTCTTCTATTCTCCCTTCCTACCATGTGCCTCTCCCTTTCTTCTATTCTCCCTTCCTACCATGTGCCTCTCCCTTTCTTCTATTCTCCCTTCCTACCATGTGCCTCTCCCTTTCTTCTATTCTCCCTTCCTACCATGTGCCTCTCCCTTTCTTCTATTCTCCCTTCCTACCATGTGCCTCTCCCTTTCTTCTATTCTCCCTTCCTACCATGTGCCTCTCCCTTTCTTCTATTCTCCCTTCCTACCATGTGCCTCTCCCTTTCTTCTATTCTCCCTTCCTACCATGTGCCTCTCCCTTTCTTCTATTCTCCCTTCCTACCATGTGCCTCTCCCTTTCTTCTATTCTCCCTTCCTACCATGTGCCTCTCCCTTTCTTCTATTCTCCCTTCCTACCATGTGCCTCTCCCTTTCTTCTATTCTCCCTTCCTACCATGTGCCTCTCCCTTTCTTCTATTCTCCCTTCCTACCATGTGCCTCTCCCTTTCTTCTATTCTCCCTTCCTACCATGTGCCTCTCCCTTTCTTCTATTCTCCCTTCCTACCATGTGCCTCTCCCTTTCTTCTATTCTCCCTTCCTACCATGTGCCTCTCCCTTTCTTCTATTCTCCCTTCCTACCATGTGCCTCTCCCTTTCTTCTATTCTCCCTTCCTACCATGTGCCTCTCCCTTTCTTCTATTCTCCCTTCCTACCATGTGCCTCTCCCTTTCTTCTATTCTCCCTTCCTACCATGTGCCTCTCCCTTTCTTCTATTCTCCCTTCCTACCATGTGCCTCTCCCTTTCTTCTATTCTCCCTTCCTACCATGTGCCTCTCCCTTTCTTCTATTCTCCCTTCCTACCATGTGCCTCTCCCTTTCTTCTATTCTCCCTTCCTACCATGTGCCTCTCCCTTTCTTCTATTCTCCCTTCCTACCATGTGCCTCTCCCTTTCTTCTATTCTCCCTTCCTACCATGTGCCTCTCCCTTTCTTCTATTCTCCCTTCCTACCATGTGCCTCTCCCTTTCTTCTATTCTCCCTTCCTACCATGTGCCTCTCCCTTTCTTCTATTCTCCCTTCCTACCATGTGCCTCTCCCTTTCTTCTATTCTCCCTTCCTACCATGTGCCTCTCCCTTTCTTCTATTCTCCCTTCCTACCATGTGCCTCTCCCTTTCTTCTATTCTCCCTTCCTACCATGTGCCTCTATGTGCCTACCTTTCCGCTCTCATTTCGCACCTCCCTTCCCTATGTCCTACCACTTGTCACGACTCCTCACTGCTTCCCACCGCATCCAACCCTTGCAGTGGCAGGCGATGAAGCGGTGGGTGGAGTCCCACAGCAGCATGCCAAGCGCCATCGTGGCCGTGGGAGACGTCTTCCCCTCGCCCTCGCCTGCCTCGCCTCGCACCACGCCACCACGCTCCCTGCCACTGCTGCGCCCACCACCGCCCCACCAGCATCACGGCCACCAGCGCTGCCCATGGCGTTCATGGGCACGGCCAAGAGCGAGTTCTACATCCGCGGGGACGAGGCCCGCCTGCTGCCCTCGCAGGCCACAACATTCGGTGAGGATTGCACCACGCGCTTACTCACGCTGATTGGCTTGTGAGGGACGGTCTAAAGGCGGGTTCATGTGTGCGGGCGCCATGCACACACCTGGCGCAGCCGCTAGGTGAGTGGGAAGGCGGAGTGCCAGTGGGGCAAGTGTTTGAGTGAGTAGAAGATTGACAAGGGCAGGCATTCCTCCATGCGCTGGCTGGTATGCGCTCGCTGGAGACATGCGAGGAGGAATGCGCTTGGGGTCATAACAAGACATGCTTTGCCATGGTGTTGTGTGGCACTGTGGCGCGGTGACGCAAGCAGCCCCGATTCACGACTGAAATGTGACTTGTTGGTGTGGCAAGGTACAGTGAGAGTGCAGAGAGGGATTCAGGGCCATGTGGCATGTTGAGGACCTGGCGAGGTGAGGGGACTGGAGAATGAGAGTTCCACCCTCCCTTCCACTCTCCCCTCCCCCGTCCCCTCCCACCTCCCTCACCTCACTGCCTTCCCTCACCCCACTGCCTTCCTTCACACCACTGCCTTCCCTCACACCACTGTCCCTGTGCTTTCTCCTGCCACTCGTGCTGCCATGCCATGCCATGCCATGCCACTGGCAGTGGAGAGGTGGTGGCACGGAGGGGGAGTGTACCACCCATGGGAGCGATGGCTCATGGCGCGTGCATGCTGCAGGTGAGAGAGACTTCATCTCCTTGTCTCCACCCCTCCACCCACCCCTCTCCCTCTCCGCCTCTCCCTCCCAATCCGCCTTACTGTTCAAGTGCGAAACCACGATGCATCCTACTGCCGTCCATCCATGTTCCTTCACCACCGTCCAACCCCATCCCCCACCGTGCGCCTCTTCCCCACCGTGCGCCTCTTCCCCACCGTGCGCCTCTTCCCCACCGTGCGCCTCTTCCCCACCGTGCGCCTCTTCCCCACCGTGCGCCTCTTCCCCACCGTGCGCCTCTTCCCCACCGTGCGCCTCTCCCCCACCGTGCGCCTCTCCCCCACCGTTCGCCTCTGCCCTGCCAGGCTGGCAGCAGTGAGGGACCGCCTCACTGCTCAGGTGCTCGCTCACAACATGCCCTCGGAGGAAGCTTCCCCCTCTGCGTCCTCCTCGTTCTCACCTGGCACGGTGCAGGCTGGCAGCGAGGCAGGGCTGTTCAGACACGGCAAGGTGAGGCAAGAGGAGGCCACAACTGCCCAACAGAATGTAAGGCAACTCCAGATGAGTCAAGCCAAGTCAAGGCGAGTCAAAGTGCCCTTCCAGCTAGAGTCAAACGAGCCACAGCGAGTTACTCAGTTGGCCAGAGCTAAATGGAAACGAGAGTCAGAGTGGGACGAGTCAACACGGGTCATCGTGCGTCAGGCAGGGTCAGTCCATGATGTGAGGCCAAGAGCAGGGCCGTTGCACCATGGCATGTCCATGTGATGGTTTCATGTGATGGTTTCATGTGATGGTTTCATGTGATGGTTTCATGTGATGGTTTCATGTGTCGCATGCCTCGCTCCACCCGTACCACCTGCACCCCATGGTGCGTGCATCCATGGCGTGGCAGCCAGCAACTTGAGTACCCCCATGAAGAACCAATCCTCCCATGCCTTGCATTGCACCCTCCATGTGTACTCACCATGCGCACCCACCACCCACCATGCGCACTCGCCATGCGTACCCGCTATGCACACCCACCATGTGTACGGCCCATGGCGTATGAATATATGCGCGTCATGCATATTATGACAAATGACATTTCTGAGTACACCTGTGACAAATGGCATTTCGTGTATCCCATGCCTCACCCCATTTCGAAATGGCTGGACCTTCACCTCGCCCTTGTCCATTCGATTCCGAGATACCTTTTCCAGGGAATCCGCGATAATAATTGTACCCAGTCTAAGCTTGGATTGCTCGACGATCAAGTCAGCAGAAAGGCACACTTGCTGCCCAACAGCAGTGAACCGAATTTGGAATCCTTGCTCCACCAATTTCATCCTATCTCGACCTCTACGCTGCTGACGAGTCTTGTGTGGCCGGCAGCAGTTGGGCAGATGGGATTGAATCAGTCGGCAGAAAACCGATGATAGAAGTTCGTCAGGAGCGACAGTAAGAGAGACGTCCGCGTGTACTGCACTCAGCTTGGTTCCAGAACTGTCGTTACTGACAGAAGGGTCTGAGTCCGTGACGCATCCTGCGGACTCGCCAATTCTATTCGGGCGGCTCTTACATCCACGGATTCTCAGACAAGCTGGGATTCTGAATATGACCTCGGAATCCATGTCGGATGCTGCAATATTCTGATCGAATTCGCTATATATCAGTCGAAGCCACCCACCGACTTGGAATCAGATCTGTCAGTTTCAACTGGAACGGGAAGGCCAGTACAAGTGCTATCTCGGTCGATGACTCACGTCCAACGGGACTAGTGATCGCCGAGTAAGCTAAGGCTGTTAGACCAATGGCATGTGTACCCCATGGCGTGTGCATGCATGACATGCATATGGTATGTTAGGTGGCATATCTGGGCAACCCCATGATGGACCACATGTCGCCATCGCCCCACCTGCACGCCTTCATCCACACCCACCTGCCTGCATGGCTGCACCACCACACCACCCATGCTGCGCACAGCGGGGGGGGTGCTGATACCACGGCGCCACACGGGGCGTCTCCAGGCGCTGCAGCATGCCAGAGCAGCAGCAGCCCGTTCCGCCATGTCTTTGCCATCCTGCCCGGCTCCAGACCACCTGAGGTGAGCCTCGCTCTCCCTGCCCCGCCCCCTCCCCCACGTCACCTGCCGCTCCTACTGCCCCACCACGCCTGCCCATCCCGCTTCCCTCGCCACGCCTGCCCTGCTGAGCACCGTCCATTTGGCACGTGGCGGGGCAGCTGTGTGTCGTTGCCGTTGTCTCGCAACCCTGCACGCACTTGTACCTTCATCAATGTCCCTCTGCCACATCTGCCATGACCATATGTGCGCCTTGTCACATCAACTTTCCGTATGCTTCATAATTCACTCGTTGTCCGCTGGGTACTGGTGACAGCAGCCGCACCCCTCGCTGCTCGCATGCGTGCGTGCAGGTGTATTCAAACTGGGAGCTTCTCACCTCCTCCATCCCCCACCTCGTCTCCTCCCTGCTCTCCTGCTCCGGGACCACCAGCGCTGGCACTAGCAGCGCCACCACTAACACTACCAGCACTCACATTGGCACCAACAGCAAAAGCAGCAGCAGCAGCAGCAGCACCAGCAGCAGCAGTCCCCTGCCAGTCCTATTCGTCTGCCCCATCGTGCCCTCCCTCCCCCCCTCCCCCTTCATCTCCCCCCTGCTCGCGCAAGGCTGGGTGCCCCTCAGCCCCCCCCGACCCACGCCACAAGGGGCAGGAGGAGAGGCGGAGGCACGGTGGATGGAGCTGGATGGGGAGGGGTCGCTGCAGGGGCTCGTGCTCTTGCTTCCCGGGCGAGAGGAGGAGGGGGGGGAGGGGAATAGCAGAGGGTGTGCAGAGGAGCATGGCGTGCCTGCTGCTCTTGAGGGGCCGCAAGAAGAAGGGAAGGAGGGGGGCTGTGGAGAGCGAGGCAGTGCTGCTGCAAGGGGGAGCAGCGGAGGGGCAGCGAGCAGTGGTGTGAGGAGCACAGGGGGAGTGCGGGCGGTGGTGGTGGTGGTGAGGGGGGGATTCGCAGAGTGCGCTCATGAGGCTCATGGCGCCCTCGCCATGGCTGGCACGGCCACCGAGCAGATGGTGAGATTGGTGAAGTGAATGCTAAGTGCGGAGTGTGGATAGATGAAGTGAGGCGTGGAGCCATGCTGATATGCAGAATGCGTGATTGGCCAGGCATGGCCACAAAGCGGAAGGTGAGATTTGGGAAGAGGATGTTTGGGTGGAGTGCAGTGGAGAGTGGTGGAGGGAGTTGTACAACCAGGATTGTGAGAAAGTGTAAGAACAACCGATAGTTTCATTAGGAAGGGCATGGGTTTACATAGTTGAGCTAGGATGTAGGAGCCATGCCAACATTATTGGCCCCCACCAATAAGTTGGGTTGAGGAGTTATTGGGGGGACCAATAATGTTGACCAAAAGTGGGTCAACATTATTGGGGGGGCCAATAATCTCCCAACCCAACCTTGGGGGCCCAATAATTGGGCCAAGGTTGGGTTCCAACCTCAAACTAGGGTAAACCCTAGTTGTGCACCCAAACTAAGTTTGGGTGCCTATCTCTAGTCAAAGCTTATATGATGATGCAGGTTACAATGAAGATGGTAATCTGACACAACCCCTTAACCTGCAGAAATCCATAGGCTTTGGAAGAGAGAACGCAACAACCCCTGAATCAGCCACCGCGGGGAGCAAGTCCCTGAAGGCGCAGGAGCGCAGAGTGGTTAGAGCGATGGAGAGCCTTGGTGAAGAGGTCAGCGAGGTTGGCGGACGAGTCGATTTTACGAACAGTGATGTGACCATCTTGCACAAGATCGCGGACAAAGTAGTAGCGGAGTTCGATGTGTTTGGAGCGACCATGAAAGACGGCCTCCTTGGTGAGGTGGATGGTACTATCGTTGTCACACCACAGGGTGGGGCAGGGCTGTGGTGAGCCAAGGTCGGTGAGAAGATAGCTAAGCCAGCGTGCCTCTTGAGCCGCCATGGTGACTGCGTACAGCTCGGCTTCGCAGGAGGAGAGGGCGACGGAGGAGGAGCGAGTGGAGCGCCAGCTGATGAGGCCGCTCCCAAGGGAGAAGCCATATCCTTGAGAACTGCGATGGTCCGGCTGTGCATCCGCCCAAGATGAGTCACTGAAGCCTTGAAGAACAGGTGGGTCCACACCACCAAGCGTGAGGCCATAGTCCTTTGTGCCTTGGAGGTAGCGCAGAACACGCATGGCCGCCTTCCAGTGCTCCTCACCATGCCTGCCAGTGCCAACAAACCGCGCCAGGACACTGACGGGGTATGCAAGGTCGGGACGAGTGCAGACCATGGCGTACATCAGGGCCCCAACGAGTTCTGCATAGGGATGAGGGGAGGTGACAGGAGTGGCTGGAGGGGACAGCCGATGCCCGAATGCAAGTGGTGTGGGGATGGGTTTGGATTTGGACATGCCGAATCTCTCGAGCACCTTCCCGATGTAGAATGACTGAGAGAGGGTGATAGTCTTGGCAGTGAGGTCGCGGGTGATCTCCATGCCAAGGTAGTTGCGGACTTCCCCCAGATCTTTGCAGGCGAGACGTTGCTGCAGCTCATCCTTGACCTCCTGAAGTTCAGCAGCTGTCTCAGCTGCTAGCAGCATGTCGTCGACGTAGACGAGGATGAAGAAGGGTGACGGAGTTAAGCGAAGGAAGAGGCAAGAGGCAGCACGGGAGGGGCGAAAGCCAAGTGCGCGAAGGGTGGATGAGAGTTTGGCGTGCCATTCTCGAGGTGCTTGTTTGAGCCCGTAAACAGGGCGTAGTAGTTTCCAGACGGTGGCAGGGTCGTGAGGAGCGTGGAAGCCCTTGGGACGTTCCAAGAAGATGAGTTCGTGGAGGTCGCCTTGTAAGAAGGCCGTGGTGACATCCATGGAGTGGAGGAGCATCCCGCGTCTGCCAACGAAGTCCAGAAACACGCGAATGACCGGCGGAGTGGCGGTAGGTGAGTAGGTCTCGAAGAAGTCCGAGCCATAAGTCTGTGTAAAGCCTTTCGCCACATACCGAGCCTTGTAGACAGGAGCTTCACCAGGGAGTAGTTTTACTCGGAAGAGCCACCTGCCTTTGACCACGTTGTGCTTGGAGGGGCGAGGGACGTCGAGGAAAGAGCGGTTGTGGATGAAGGCGTTGCATTCCTTGACCATGGCCTCGATCCAGAGAGGTGCGTCAAGACATGCAATTGCTTGCTCGTAGGTGGTGGGTTCGTAGATGGTGGGGGTGTTGGAGAAAAGAAGGACCGTAGTACCAGCCATGGTGCGGACGACAGGGGCGATGGTGGGTGAGAGGAGGTGGAGGAAAAGGAGTTCATCATGAGAGTCTTCATAGAGGTCCGGAGAGAGAGGAGGAGGAAGAGGAGGCGGTGAAGATGCAAGACAGCTGCGCTGGAGGGTCAGGCTGGAGCGGGAACACGGCTGCACTGCTGCTCTGCTGCGCCGAGGGTCGGGGCGAGGAGACAGCTGCAATGCTGCTCTGCTGCGCTGAGTTGCCGTGAGGGGCAGGGAGACGGGAGCGCGGCTGGTGTGAGAACCTGAGGGGCTGGTGCGGGGGAGTGGGGAAGTGCTAGAGTGGTGGAGGAGTGGAATGGATGTGAGAGACTGGAGGGAGAGGTGATTGGACCGTGGGGGACCAAGGATGGGGACTGTGGAGCGGGTGTGAGGGTAGTGACGAAGGAGCAGAGGAGGGGACGAAAGTAAGGGCCGAGATGGTGGAGGGGAAGGGGGGGGAGGAGGAGATGGGGAGGGTGGAGGTTGGGAGAGGGGAGGGGGTGGGGGAGAGTTCAGGGGGGGAGGGGATGGAGAGGGAGGGGGAGGGGGTGGGGAGGGAGGGGGGGGGTCAGCGTGGAGAGGGGGAGGGTCAGTGGGGGGAGAGGGAGTTACAGCGGAAGGGGAGGGTGGGGCAGCCGGGTCAAGGATGTCCCCTGAGGAGGTTGGGAGAGAAGGGGGAGGGGGTGGGGGTGCGGGTATGACCAGGGTGGGGGGAGGTTGAAGGGGAGGGGTGATGACAGTGTCAGTCCAGAGGAGAGGACGTATGGTGAGGGGGAGGGGGTTAGGGGCGGAGGGGGAGGTGTAGTACGGATTGGCTTCATCAAAAACCACATCCCGACTACGAATGAGACGACCTGAGGGGGGGTGGAGGAAGAGGTAGTCCGGGGAGGTGGGGTTATGACCAATGAAGATGCAAGGGAGGGTGCGGGAGGCAAGTTTCCCAGCTGCACGTGAACGGTCCTCAGGGTGTATGAGAACATACGCCTTGGAGCCCCACACGCGCAGGGGGGAGATGTCGGGTTTAGTGGAGGTCCAGAGTTCGGTGGGAGTAGTGGTGGGCCGTGAGGGATGGGGGTAGAGATTAGTGAGGATGGCGGCGTGGAGGATAGCATAACCCCACAGAGAAGGCGGGCAGGAGGCATGGACCATGAGGCATCGAGCGGTCTTGGTGACCTCCCGAACCCTGCTCTCCGCCACACCATTTTGCTGAGGGGAATGAGGAAGGGTGTAGGTGTGGATAATGCCATGGGTGGAGCAGTAGGAGGAAAGCATCCGGTTAAGGAACTCACCGCCGCCATCGGAATGGAAGCGAGAGACAGGGCGTTTGAAATGGGTGCGTGCTTGTTCAGCCCAGGCAATAATGGCAGCCGGGGCCTCCGCCTTCTTGCGAAGGAGAGAGACAGTGGAGTACCGACTGTGGTCATCTACCAGTATGAGCAGGTAGCGATGACCTTGCCTGGTGGGGGTGGGATTGGGGCCCCAGAGGTCCATGTGGACGAGATCAATGGGTTGGGGAGAGAAGGAGGGATGACTCTTGTGGGGGGCTTGCTTTAGTTTGCTTTCAACGCAAACTGAGCAGGGAGGGGAGGGCGACGGGGGGAGAGGGGGGAGGGTGAGGGGAAGTCCTTCAAGAAGTTGAGAGGAGACAGATTGACGAAGGGTGGCAAAGTTGGGATGACCCAAGCGATGGTGAAGGAGGACGGCGGGATGGGTAAGGTCACGACAGTGACAGGAGGGGGAGGAGGGAGGGGAGGGGGAGGAGGGAGGGGAGGGGGAGGAGGGAGGGGGAGGGGAGGCAAGAGGAGGGGGGGAGGGAGGGGAGGGAAGGGGGGAAGAAGGGGAGGGGAGGAGGGGGGGGAGAGGGGAGGGGGGAAGGGAGGTAGGGGGAAGTAAGGTGGGAGTGGTGAGTTGGTGGATGGAGGGGCGAGGGGTGCGGTATGTGTACAGGTTTGTGTGTGGGCAGAGGGGAATACGACAGATGAAGCGACCAGTGATGGTGTGAAAGAGGTCGCAGTGAAGTGCATGTCCGGGGAAGATGGCGGTGACACCTAACCTTGGGAGGTCACGAAGTGCTACCAGATTGTTGCGTAGGGAGGGGACGTGTAGACCTGTGACTGTGCCTGAGGGGAAGATGGGGCAGGGGAGAGTGGAGGTGTGTCGACTTGTGATGGTGAAGCTGAAGTCGGCTCCGTAAATGGTGGAGGGAGTGGGGAGGGGGACTAGTGTGCCTGCGTCCCGAAGGACAGTGTGTGTAGCGCCGCTGTCAAGAATGAACTCAAGGAGTGTAGAGGAGGAGGAAGAAGCGGAATACTGGAAGGATGTCTCATTAATAGCATGGGCATACATTGAAGGAGCAGGAGAAGCAGTGCTAACATGTCCTATGAATCCAGCAGAAGGGAACGGAGTGAAGCCAGGAGGATTGGAGGAGGAGGAGGGCTGGTCAGTAGGAGTGGTAGCAGGTGGAGGAAGCACAGGGCCGTATTGAGGAGGTGGATAAGGAGGGTATGGCCAGCCGGTATAGGGCGGAGGATAGTGGGGGGGAGGGGCTTGAGGAGGAGGTGTGGGTGAAGGGGGAATGGGAGGGGTGGGAGGGGTGGGAGTGGGAGGAGATGAAGGGAGAAGATGTTGAACTTGCTGGAGGATATGAGGTGGGAGATGCTCAGTGAGGACATTGTGAAGATTAGGGGTGGAGGGTTGATAGGCGGGGAGAGTGCGTATGTCATGGAGAGAGGGGCGCGGGAAGATGGTGTTCCATCGAGGTGGGGTGCCGACATTGCCACGTGCAAACCACTCATCAGTGAGGGCTTTGAAGCACGTGTCAGTGGTGTGAGTGGTTTGAGCGCAAGGCTGACCTTTGTTGGAGCCATAGCGAATGATGTACTGACACGGGGGAAGGGTACCCGAGGGAGAGGGGTTTTTGCCACGCCCACCACGGCCGCCACCACGACCACCACCGCGTCCACCGCCTCGCCCACCACCTCGTCCACCACCGCCACCGCCAGTACCGCTTGAGCCGCTACCTCCGCCGCTGCTGTGGTTGCCTGCGGGAGTTTTGCGAGCCTGGATAGCATTGATGGTGGTGGAGTCACGTTGGATGTCCGCTTCGCTGTCAAGGAGCCAGTCGATTGTGTCGGCCACAGGAGGAGGATGGCGGTACCTAGAGGTAAAGGTGATGCGGTAGGTATCGTATGTGGGTGGAAGGCAGTCGAGGATGCGTGCAGTGAGAAGTGATTCATGAATGACAATGCCGCGGTCGTTGAGACGTTGCGCAGTGTCGATGAGGCGCCGAGTGAAGGCAGCAGCAGTGGGGGATGAGTCAAGAGTGGTGTCTTGAAATTTGCGAAAGAGAGCAAGGAGAGAGCGAAGGTCCTGTCGGTCGTACTGAGTGGACAGGGTTTTCCAGAGGCCAGAGGAGGAGGTGGGGCGGAGGTCACGTTTGAGATGGGAAGGGATGCAGGAGAAGATAATGGCTAGAGCGCGGCGATCCGCAATTCGCCATGCTGCAGTATCCTTGTTGAACTTGCGAAGTTCATCAGCATAGTCTTTTTCATCCTGTGCGTAGGAGAGGATACGCGCAGTAGCATCAGCGTGAGCCTTCTCAGCAGCACGGTGCGCCTCACGCTGGATGGTGTAGGCATCGCGAAGCTTGTTGTAGTTGTTCAAGTTGGCCGCCCATCGATCTGGGTTGTCATCATGAACTGGGGCACGAGGGGGATCAGACAGAGGCTCTGGAGGAGGAGGGGCATCAGGAGGAGGAGGCTCAAGAGGAGGAGGGGGGACGGGTGGAAGGCCGTTAGGGTGCTCAAGAACTACATCAAGAAGACAGTAGTCTTGAACAATGACAGAGCCAAGGTGGGTGTGAAGTGTGTCCTCAAACGACGCCCAGTTCACGGCCGTAGTGTCATGGAGGAGTTCGAGCTTATCGATAGCTCCGAGTTCAATGGGAGTAGAGTCGTCCGCCATGAGGGGGGAGGAGGGGGGGGGGAGAGGGTGACGACACCGGCTGGAGGGCGGGTGCGGTCAAAGACGACACCACCTGGAGGGGTGGCGCGGTCACGTTGCGTGCGGCAGCGCTTCGTCACCCGCGGCTGCCCCTTGTCGCCCGCGGCTGCGTCTCGTCGCCCGCGGCTGCGCCTCGTCGCCTGCAGCTGTGCCTTGACGACACGCGGCTGCTCCTGAATGCGTCCGCAGCGATCGCCCTCGCTGGTCGCGTCCGCGGCGTCCGCCCGCGCTGGTCGTGTCCGCAGCGTCGCCCTCGCTGGTCGCGTCCGTGACGTCCGCCCGCGCTGGTCGCGTCCGCGGCGTCCGCCCGCGCTGGTCGCGTCCGCGGCGTCCGCCCTCGCTGGTCGCGTCCGCGGCGTCCGCCCTCGCTGGTCGCGTCCGCGGCGTCCGCCCGCGCTGGTCGCGTCCGCGGCGTCCGCCCTCGCTGGTCGCGTCCGCGGCGTCCGCCCTCGCTGGTCGCGTCCGCGGCGTCCGCCCTCGCTGGTCGCGTCCGCGGCGTCCGCCCTCGCTGGTCGCGTCCGCGGCGTCCGCCCGCGCTGGTCGCGTCCGCGGCGTCCGCCCTCGCTGGTCGCGTCCGCGGCGTCCGCCCTCGCTGGTCGCGTCCGCGGCGTCCGCCCTCGCTGGTCGCGTCCGCGGCGTCCGCCCGCGCTGGTCGCGTCCGCGGCGTCCGCCCGCGCTGGTCGCGTCCGCGGCGTCCGCCCTCGCTGGTCGCGTCCGCGGCGTCCGCCCGCGCTGGTCGCGTCCGCGGCGTCCGCCCTCGCTGGTCGCGTCCGCGGCGTCCGCCCTCGCTGGTCGCGTCCGCGGCGTCCGCCCCCGCTGGTCGCGTCCGCGGCGTCCGCCCCCGCTGGTCGCGTCCGCGGCGGTCGCCCGCGCTGGTCGCGTCCGCGGCGTCCGCCCCCGCTGGTCGCGTCCGCGGCGTCCGCCCCCGCTGGTCGCGTCCGCGGCGGTCGCCCGTTCTCGTCGCGTCCGCGGCCGTCGTTCGTCGCGGGTGTGGCGTCCGCCCGCGATTAGGGTTTCGTCGGTCGCGGCGGTCGCCGATGCTCGTCGCGGGTGTGGCGTCCGCCCGCGATTAGGGTTCCGTCGCTCGTGCTGGCCGTTCCGACGGTCGCGCTGGTCGTTCCGACGGTTGCGCAGATCGTTCCGACGGTTGCGCGGATCGTTCCGACGGTTGGCGTGGCCGTTCCGACGGTTGATGGGTTAGTGGGAGAGAGGGGAGAGCCGCGAGAGGCGGAATTGACTGTAGAAAGGAGGGAGGGGGGCGCTGAAATTTAGCGCAAGGGGAGGGGGGGGGCGTGACGGCGTAGGGGCGCACTAGGCGCAAAGGGCGACGTAGTGTCGCGTGAGAGAGGGGGGCGTGATATAGCACGCGGTATGTGCGGTCCTTAGGATCGAGATGGTGTGAGCCGTAGTTGCTCTGAATACCATGTGAGAAAGTGTAAGAACAACCGATAGTTTCATTAGGAAGGGCATGGGTTTACATAGTTGAGCTAGGATGTAGGAGCCATGCCAACATTATTGGCCCCCACCAATAAGTTGGGTTGAGGAGTTATTGGGGGGACCAATAATGTTGACCAAAAGTGGGTCAACATTATTGGGGGGGCCAATAATCTCCCAACCCAACCTTGGGGGCCCAATAATTGGGCCAAGGTTGGGTTCCAACCTCAAACTAGGGTAAACCCTAGTTGTGCACCCAAACTAAGTTTGGGTGCCTATCTCTAGTCAAAGCTTATATGATGATGCAGGTTACAATGAAGATGGTAATCTGACACAGGAGGATGATTTGCATGCATGGAGCCATGGCAGTGGTAAGTGCAAGCGGTGGAGGACGGTGGAGGTGTGGGCTTAGCATGTGCCTCAACAATATGAGGCACAGGGCCAATGGTGAGGCACAGGGCCAATGGTGAGGCACAGGGCCAATGGTGAGGCACTGGCGTACAGTAGGGTGGATGGTGTGCGTTGGGGAGTGTGTGTGCAATCCGCAACCCACTTGGATTGTTCTAGAGAGTTTGAAGGATTGCGTGTGGTGCAATGGGATGTGCAGGTGCGATGGGATGTGCAGGTGCGATGGGATGTGCAGGTGGCCCGCAGGTTGGTGGCAGGTGGGTGGCAGGTGGGTGGCAGGTGGGTGGCAGGTGGTTGGACAGATGGTGCAGTGTAGAAACCGTGTTTGTCTGCAAATCCTTCGTGCCTCCCTCGCTCCTCCTCCCTTGGTCCGTGTGCACAGGTGGGGCTGGGCAAGCCAGTGTTCATCCTGCCGGGCAAGGGACCTCAGTTCACGGCACACTTTGCCGAGGCACAGACCCGTCTGCTGGGAAAATCTGTGAGCACTCTCACTATTTTTCACTCTGCCTGTCTTTGTCCGAGTGCATCCATCATTCCATTCACTCTGCCATTCCATGCACCTCATAGCATTTATGTTTTTCACTGCACCTCTTTGGCATGCTAGTGGCCAACCCTCTCTTGTCAATCGATGTCCCACCAACGCAGGTTGTTCTATTAAATTCCCCTGAAGAACTGGGGGCAACTGCTGCAGCAACAATGGCAGATGCAAGGGCTCTCCAAAAGATTGCAGCAAATGGAAGGATACGAATGGGTGGGCCGGGTGGAGCAAAGCGGATAGCAACGGCTGTACTGGATGCTTTGCTTTGGTGATACCTGTAATCCCCCGCATAGTACACCCTCCATGATTGAACACCCATAGGTGTACAATTACGGTGGGTAACTAAAAAATGCACCAGTTAGAGCAAGCACCCCCCCAAGCTCCTCCCCCCCTCCCCTCCCCCCCAACATCACCCTCACATTCACTCTGAGAGACGTGTCCACGCCCCAGCCAGTGAAGGCCAGGACGCGTTCCCGACAGGTAGAGCGGAGGAGACAGTATCAACCGAAACGGCAGACCGAGACCTCCGCCCGGATATCCAACTACGAGCTTTTTAACTGCAACAACTTAAATATACGCTATTGGAGCTGGAATTACCGCGGCTGCTGGCACCAGACTTGCCCTCCAATAGATCCTCGTTAAGGGATTTAAATTCGACTCATTCCAATTACCAGACTCGAAGAGCCCGGTATTGTTATTTCTTGTCACTACCTCCCTCTGTCAGGATTGGGTAATTTGCGCGCCTGCTGCCTTCCTTGGATGTGGTAGCCGTTTCTCAGGCTCCCTCTCCGGAATCGAACCCTAATTCTCCGTCACCCGTTACCACCATGGTAGGCCTCTATCCTACCATCGAAAGTTGATAGGGCAGAAATTTGAATGATGCGTCGCCGGCACAAGGCCGTGCGATCTGCGGAGTTACCATGTTTCACCAAATGGACCGGGCAAGCCCGGCATTGGCCTTTGCTCTAATAAATGCGTCCCTTCCGTGAGGTCAGGACATTTTGCACGTATTAGCTCTAGAATTACCGTAAGCCCCCGGATAGAAGCGCAGGCCTCGGATAAGCGCCGGCGCTTATAAAAGGATGAGGGCGCTTATATCTGGTCCTTGATTATAAGCGCACCCCCTAAAAATTCATGATCTATTATAAGCGCATGCCAATTTTATATCTGAAAATCAGTCGAATACAAAAACGAATTTCACCTTACCAGGGAAGCGAAGTACAGTTCCAGTTTCCCACTCACATCTCACTTGCTTCGCGTCTAGTCAGCACGTGCTGTCGCTTTGTCAGCATGTGTTGGCAAAAAATCAATCCCTGCCAAGCTGAGCGAGAATCAGATTCGCGACCCCATATATTTTCGACTCGATTACAATGTGCATAACGAGATCTACAAATTGGTGTAAAAACTACCTAATTTCATTTTTGCCGTTATATAAGCGCCGGCGCTTTTAAAAATCCTCAATTATAAGCCCACCCCCTAAAAAACAGTGTTTTTTTATACCCCCAGGGGCGCTTCTATCCGGGGGCTGACGGTACTACGGTTATCCGAGTAATTGGGCACCATCAAATAAACAATAACTGATTTATTGAGCCATTCGCAGTTTCGAGGGAACAAATGCCCTCTTATACCGCGGTGTGTCACTCCATTGGGCAGTTTCGACGTTAACATTGGGCAGTTTCGACGTTAATTATGGAGCTGGCCAACGAGAAGATGCCTTAGACATTCGTGCTGGAAGGCTGCGCGGCTTCTAGCACCGCTACTTCCACCTGCTCCTGCGACTTCGGCGTGGTGGCAAGCAGTGATGCTCCACAGTGACGCTGCGAGTGCTTGCCACACTGCTTAGGCACTGTCACTGCCATCCAGGAGCTATATGTACTCAACTGCCTGCTAGTGAAAAACCACTCTTTGTTGTTTCTCGTCTCTGCCTAGCTTTCTTAACATGCTATCAGAGCAGGTCGACCCTCCTGGGTCGATCCTGTGGGTGGTCCCGCCCGATGCTTCCGCTGCTGTCCTGCCTATCGCACGCCCTGGGCGTGTGATGTCTTCTGCCTGCCGCGCGCTCAGGGCGCGCGGCGTTTTTTCTTCCCGCCGCGCGCCCTGCCCCGTCGACCCGCGCGTCGCCCCCCGTCGGCGGTCGCGTCGCCCCTCGGGAGCCCGTCGCGTTGCCCCGCAGGCCCGCGCGTCGCCCCCGCTACCCCGCCGCGACGCCCTGGGGAGCCGCGCGCGACCCCCGCTACCCTGTCGCGGCGCCCTGGGGAGCCACGCGCGCCCCCCCCTGCCCCGTCGCGGCGCCCTGGGGAGCCGCGCGCCTGCCCCCGTCGACCCGCGCGCCCGTTCCCGTCGAGCCGCGCGCCATCCCCCGAGCTGCTGCCCGCGCACCGCCCCCCCGCTGCTGCCTGTGTTACGGTTTGGGGTGGAGAGTATGGGGGTGGCGAGTATGGGGGTGACGGGTGTGTGCGCCGTCCCCTGCTCCTCCTCCTCCTCCGTCTCCCACTGCTGCAGCTGCCGCTGAGGGGGGTGGATGTGTTGGAGCCGTCGGAGTGGTACGAGGGGGGTGGCGTGTGAGCAGTGCTAGGGGTACAGCAGGGAGTGTGTGAAAGGGGTGTGGGACAGCTGGGGGAAGTTGAGTGGAGGTAGTCGTCTTGTCGTCCGCAGCGCCTGAAGTCCAGAGAGCCACGACCCCCTGTGGCTTTGTAGTCCGGGGCTCTGCGTCCGGTAGCCACAGTGTGAGCACTCCTGGTAGTCCAGAGCAGGGCTCAGGTTATCAGTGTAATTTACCCTTCTACACTGATTACAAGGGTGAAATTTTGGGTCTACACTGATGTGCTGGGGTAATTTTTTGATGAGTTAGTGTTACATTGATCAGCAAGTGTATCGATGTAGGCCACACTGATGCCTTGGGGTAAAGTTTCCCTTAGCGAAGATTACACTGAAGAGCGTACACGGACCCCCACACCCACCCCCCCTTCCCCCTCCCCCCTCTTCCCCACAAACAATCGGTCGAGGGGGAGGGGAGGCGAAATTCTCGCCAATTTTGTAATTCCTCCCCTTCCCCCCCCGCCCCTCACAAACAATCGGTTGAGGGGGAGGGGAGGCGAAATTGTCGCCAATTTCGTAAGTCCTCCCCTTCCCCCCCGCCCCTCATAACAAACAGTCGAGGTGGGAGGGGACCTGGGAGGCAGATAACTTTCTCGCCACCTGTCATACACACCCCAAAAGCTTCAGGTTCAATGGAGGTGGATAAAATTAAATCAGATATTCCATACAATTCTAACATGTCTAATTCATGGCCAAAAATTTGTATTTTACCACACATGATGTGTCGGTGCTTGGAAAAAAACCACACTGATGATGCAGGGTAAAAATTTCAAAACCTGATGTTACACTGCTCTATCAGTGTAATGGAAAAGTACACACTGCCCATAAGGGTTTTTGAAAAAGCTACACTGCCAATCGTGAGTAGGCCAAAACCAAACCTGAGCCCTGGTCCAGAGAGCCAGCTGCGCCTGTCGCCGTGTAGTCCGGGTTTAGCCTGGTAGCGACAGTGCTGCGCACTCCTGGGAGCACAGCGAGCCAGCTGCGCCTGTCGCCGTGTAGTCCGGGTTTAGCCTGGTAGCGACAGTGCTGCGCACTCCTGTTGCCCGTGTGTCTGCAGCTTCTGTCAAAATGTTGTAATTGTCTAGCCTGCAGTGGGGTACTCTATAGCGAGTACAACCCAAATTAGGGTTTCCTATATGTACCTTGCATGCTGCTAGTACAACCCCTCTTCTCTGTTCTATCTTTCGTCCTACCATCTCGATATGGTAACAGAGCGTTCACGCTCCTGGCCTGTGGGCCCCACTGCTGCTTCCGCTGCCCTACTCTGTGTCGCGCGCCCCGTGGCGCGCGACCTTCACATTTTCATCCCGCCGCGCGCTCGGGGCGTGCGGCGGTTTTCTCCCCGCCGTGCGCACCGAGGCGCACGGCGGTTTCCTACCGTGGGGGACGCCCGCGGCCCCCCGATCCCGTCGCCCGCGGCCCTCCGGTCCCGTCGCCCGCGGCCCCGCGATCCCGTCGCCCTGGGGAGCCGCACGCGACCCCCCGCGGCCCCGATTTCCCGTCGTGCCGCCCTGGGGAGCCGCGCGCGACCCCCCGCGGCCCCGATTTCCCGTCGTGCCGCCCTGGGGAGCCGCGCGCGACCCCCCGCGGCCCCGATTTCCCGTCGTGCCGCCCTGGGGAGCCGCGCGCGACCCCCCGCGGCCCCGATTTCCCGTCGTGCCGCCCTGGGGAGCCGCGCGCGACCCCCCCGCGGCCCCGATTTCCCGTCGCGCCGCCCTGGGGAGCCGCGCGCGGCCCCTCGCTGCCCCGTGGTCGCGTTCTGGGGGCCGAGCGCCGTCCCCCTCGCCGTCCCCCGCGCTCCTTCCCCCGTTCCGCCCGTTTTTAGGGTTTGGGGGTGCGGAGTGTGGGGGTGGCAGCTCTGGGGGTGCCGTGTGTGTGCGCCGTCCCCTGCTCCTCCTCCTCCTCCGTCTCCCACTGCTGCAGCTGCCGCTGAGGGGGGTGGATGTGTGGGAGCCGAGGTTTAGGGTTTAAGGGGGGTGCCGTGGAAGTGGAGCTAGGGTGTCAGCAGGGGGTGTGTGAGAGGGGCGTGGGACGGTCGGGGGAGGTTGCGTGGAAGTAGCCGTCGTGACGCCAGCAGCGCCAGTAGTCCGGATGCCCTCGCGCGTTTCGGTAGCCCAGCGAGCCTGCTTCGCCAGTTGCCTGTGGGTCAGTTGCTCCTGTGTGTGCTCGTCGTAGCCGCGGAGCCAGATACTCCCGTAGTCCGGTGCCCTCGTGCGCTCGGTAGCCACTGTGCACGCCGCTCCTGTTGCCCGTTGTGTCTGCAGCAGATCGCCCCTCACAGTCTCTCCTCCTCCTCACTTGCCCTCTGTGACTGCCTCTAGCTTTACTTGCATTTGTGGACTTGATCTATGACTGGTTATTTGCGCTGATTACACCCCACTTTGGCTATGGGGGTGTGTCAGAATGTTGTAATTGTCTAGCCTGCAGTGGGGTACTCTATAGCGAGTACAACCCAAATTAGGGTTTCCTATATGTACCTTGCATGCTGCTAGTACAACCCCTCTTCTCTGTTCTATCTTTCGTCCTACCATCTCGATAGCTTCAACCGTCGTCTCGCATCTTCTCGCCCCCACAGTTTCTCCTCCTCCTCACTTGCTCTCTGTGATAGCCTCTAGCTTTGCTTATAATTGTGAACTACTGCTCTGCCTGCTTGTTGTGTTGATTGTACCCCACT